TTAGGCGGGCACGCCGCCAAGCGCGCTGCTAGATCGAAGTCGGCGAAGGAGGGACAGGAGAAGGCCGAGGGGGACCCAGACGAAGAAGATCAAGAAGCAGTCGGTCGACGATCACGCGGGGTCAAACCAAGGATCACACAAGGTTCCCGGATCGTCGGGCTCGTCACTCGGCGCATTAGGGGTCGACGAAGATATCATTCAATTTGCTATCGCGCAAGCTCTTCGTGGACAGATGCGCGCTCAACAGCGCCGACGGGAGCGGGAATTGGAGAAGGGTTCGCGCAGGGGTGCGTAGGCGTGGGATCGAGGCGGAGGATTACCATATTGGGCGAAGCGGTTTCCACTTCGGGAGGGCGGATGTTACGTGCCGGTCCTGCCGGAAGCCGAGACCGAGAACTTCTTTCCTTTTCTAGCATCCGGCGCTGATGCGCCTTTTGACTGTTTGATCCTTTTGCTCCACTTCCATGTGCTCAAGGGCCTGCGACGAGGTATAAAAGACAAGCAGCCTCGTCGCGAGGACCTTTACCTTTTGGTTTCGTATCTTACCTCGAGTTGCTCAATCGAGACTTGAACTCTCTGTTGTTGTGCCGCTCGAGAACCTTACCGTGTGAACGCACCTTAGCCGTATTCGGCTTTGCCCGCGTCACACCACTACTCGAGTCCGACTTCCTCGGTCGTTCCTGTACATAGACCTGGATCGCTCTGGCTGCCTCAGATTCTCGGAGGCTTCAAGGCAGGGTGGAGGATCTCAAATACGACGCAGAGGCTCAGCTTGCTGCCAATCAAGCTCGTTCGACAGAGTCCCACTCCTTCGTCTTCCCTCGACCGAACATCGGCCTGACTCCGACTGCCGAATTCAAGCACATCATCTCGCGGTTCATCTGGTCTGCTCTCGGGATGTATCAGCCATCAGATACTCCTGCAGCCTCGGATCAACCGCAGGAGAATGTCGACTCAGCCTTCAATCCTGGCGCTAACCAGGTGATCGGATTGAAAAAGATCCCGCCGTACTGGTATCCGTACACGACAATGGCCAAGGGGCGATGGTTGGGGCGAGAAATACTTGAAGTTGTATCGACGGAGTTCCGAGATCGGTCGATGGAATACTACGTACGTCACATCCCCCACCTGCTACTCTCAGACATAACCTAAGCGGTCACCCACAGCGATATGCGCTCGAATCCGGGGTTACGACTATCAATGGAAAAGTCGCAAAGCCTGATACTATCATTCAAAACGGTGACCGCATCGAGTATGTCCCTACGCCTCCTTGTTCTGTGGCTGCCTAGCACTTCGAAGGACACACCGTTGGCTAGAAAACGACTGACTGACGCAGAAACGTAGTTCATAGGCATGAACCTCCGGTGACGTCGTCCCCGGTCAAGATACTTCACCATGATGTTGAGCGTGAATTCATCGTAATCGACAAACCGGGAAGCATCGTGAGTAGTCCATATCTCATATATGTCGTCTGAGCTCATCTACTCTAGCCCGTACATCCATCAGGTCGCTACTACAAAAATAGTCTAATTGAAATCTTGAAAGACGACTTCGGGTACAAAGATGTATACAGTATGTTGACCAGACACTTTCCTTTCGGTTAAGGAGCTAATCGTTCCATCCGATGATTAGCCGTGAACCGCCTGGATCGACTCACCTCCGGACTCATGATTGTTCCGCTCTCCTCGTCCCGCGCTAGAATGGTGTCCGACGAGTTCATCGAGGGAAAGGTGCAAAAAGAATATGTAGCAAGAGTGAAGGGTCATTTCCCGCCGTTCGTGATGCGCTCTCTTCGTTGTCGTCTCGCTCACCTCATTTCATGGCATAAATAGTGAAGAAGTAATCTGCGAAGAACCCCTCCTGACCGTCGACCGACAGATGGGATTGAATATAGTGCATCCAGAGGGAAAGGTCAGTTTGACGCAATTTGATGTGGCCAATGAGCTGATAGATCATACGTTTGCTTTCAAAGCCTGCGAAAACCATCTTCACCAGGATGCTCTATGATAAAGGGACGGACACGAGTGTTGTGCATTGTGGGTGCTCGCAGTTCACTATCTTGAACACGCGACTCAGCATAACATTGTAGGCCGGCCTCTGACAGGACGATGTGCGTATGACAAGAGGACATGCATAGAGCTCATGCTGATTCATTCTAGCCCACCAGATTCGCGTTCATTTGCAATACCTTGGTCATCCCATAGCCAATGATGTTATCTATTCAGAAGAAAGGATATGGGTCAGCGAGCTTGTCATATCCGCGATAGTCTCAACATTCATGACTTCATGATAGGGCGCGAAACTGGGGAAGGGTGGTTTAGACCTCACTCCGAGTGACGAACGGGCTGCGCCCAAGCCACCCAGCCACTTCACTCCAGAGGGAAATCCGGAATCCCTGACAAAAACGCACGTTTCTCCCGTCGGCGCCGAGCCATTTGTCTACGTCGATGCCTCCGCATCGAATGCACAATCGAAGGCGGACGGCGTGACTGATGCATCAGCTGCGAACGTGGTTGGGCAGGCGGAGGCGGTGACCAGCTTGAGCGCCCCAGTGGCGGGGCCGGCAAGCGTAGACGGGGAACTAAAGAACGACGCTGACAGCGACGGTACACTGAAGCCAAAACTGCTACCGCGAGAGACCGGGCATGATATTGGTATGGGCTCGCCTGTTCCACTTTCTGCTGAGGCTGTTGGCGTTATTACTCGCCTGCGGAACATGAAGGTAATCACAATGTTGTTTCTCGTAACGTGCAATGGACTTATGCGATTTGGTTCAGGACGAGGACGAGGACTGGAGCCGCTGGCGCGATGTCGTCTTTCGTGCGAAAGGCGCTCTCGTTCCCAAACACGCGCCTATACCACTCCCGAAGTCCAATAGACGTAAACGAGGGGGACCAGCAGAATTCATACGAGTCGCAAATGCGGAGGAGACCAGTCAGACACAGAAGCGGGAGAGTCAACAGCCCTCGGAGCCCCCGCAGCTATCAACTGAAGAAGCGTTAGCTAAGATCACGGTCACCTCCGCGACGAAAGAACTTCCTACTAGCAACGCAATAGCAGCCTCGGAAGAGAAAACGATGCATTCAGAGTCGCTACTCTATTGCCCGGACTGCTACCTACCCTTGCATCCGGATCCGAAGCCGGAGAAGCTCTACATTTTCCTGCACGCGTTGCGGTATACAACCAGCCTCGGTTCCTTCGAGACCGAGATGCCGGTGTGGGCGAGGGAGGGTTGGAAATGGGATCGTTCTTGAGACTGGGGAGCTTGAATCATCTTCAGAACTAGCTAGATACGCGCTTGGGCTGTCACTACATAAACGTTAGTTGCATTGTAGCCACCGGTGCGCGTTGGTAGCTATCGATGAAGTCCCAATGAGATAACCCTAATGTTCCCACGCCCCACCGTACTCTTAAGTCGCGCTTCGAAATTTTTGTTTCTTCAGAACATACTCGATCGTCAGTCGCCTCCTTGCCTGCTTTCCTTTTCGTGTTTGCTGATATCGACCCATTCTATTCACAGAGGATCTGTTATTCAGTATCTTACCGAGTCTCGCTTGTTTACACAAGCCGCATCCTTCAAATCCACTCGATGACATCCGCGCCCGCTCGTTATACCGAGAACATGCGTCTCCTCTAGGAGGCGCTCGAGGACGTTTGGCTTGTTTATCGCTAGTGCTTGTATGAGCCTAGTGATTGACCTGCCTGCGAGCTGGGCGTTTGTCTGATGGATTACTTGAAGATGTGCTCTGTGGACTTGCTTTCATGTAATGAATCGCATATGAATGGATATTTGACAATGTATGTGTGCAGCACCTAATCTGATCGCAGTTTTTGGTCGATGGGAGGTGCGGTGGTGCGCTCAGCGCTCATCCAGATGACGTGCTCTATTTCTGGGTGTGATACACGTCTGTGGGCCGTGGAGGGCACTCGACTTCAGTTTCAACCTTCTGGATGTGACTTTGCCTTCGTGGCGACATGGTTCGATTCAAACTCGTCTTTTTCACTCCAACGACGCATACACGCGCTGTTCTAGCTACAATTTTCGCCAAACACCCGGAGAATGTGGGATCCATAGGCAACTACCGTGAGGCCGCGTTCATTTCCCGAGGAACAGGTGTAGTAGAAGCCGAACCTGCTTTCACACCGCGCACACTGAAATAAAATCGCTCTCGCATCAGGTCAGTTCAGACCTGGGTCAGGCGCCAATCCGACCATTGGTACGCCAGGAATTTTGGAGTATGTGGAGGAGGACCGGGTTGAGGTGGTCGTGAATGACAACGGAGATAACGAAGGGATCAAGGGCGCGGTGGCAACGCTGAAGGCCGTGAGTCTCTATAAAGGACACGTATCTTTGCTCGATGATGCAGCAACTGAGGTTAGTTTGCGCTCGCTGGTGTAGGCCCATCCGTACGAGGAAGTCGCATATGATGTATATCGTTTGGAGGACTTTTGATGCTCAAGAAGCACATGTCGGACAGGTACCAGGGACATGCAATGCCATCATCACGTCGAATGCACCTCGCCGTCCTCCGGCGCGTCTTCTTCGACCCGTTAAACGTGCGGCGTCCAGAGGGACTGCAGTGGGATCGCGATCACCCACGTTTGCGAGTCATGCGACGCGTTAGTTGCCCCAATCCACGTCGTGCGCTGCTAAGCCGGCATATAGATGCGTCCACGCACGTCGGCAAGGACACAAACCTGGTTGCCCGTTCTCAAGATACGGCAAAAAATGACGGAGACGCATGAGGAGACCGTCACGAATGAGCGGCAGTCACACTTATCTCGTCACGCCCGTTGCTTCTTGATCGCTTTCCAGTGCAGCCGTGCACGCGGTTGTAGAGAGGATATCACCCATCAATATCCTCCAACTCGGAATAAATACGTAGCGGGGTATGGAGGTCAACCCGACCGACGACGCCCCGGCCGTTCAGCCGTACCATGAAGTTCACGACCGCCGCCATCGCCGCCGCGCTTTTCAAGCTCGTGACCGCGTGCGGTGACGACCACGCACACGACCACTCGCTGCACAAGCGTTTGCCGCCCAGCGCGCACCTGACTCCTCCCAGCCGGCCGTTGGAGTGGGGCGACGTGAATATCATCCATACCACCGACTCGCATGGCTGGTTGCTTGGACACCAGAAGGCATCCTGGCCTGAGCCGAATTACAGCGGGGACTTCGGCGATTTTGCGAGCTTTGTAGCGCATATGAAGAAAATCGCGAAGAAGAAGGATGTGGACCTTCTTCTCGTCGACTCTGGTGACCTGCACGATGGTACTGGCCTGTCTGACGGCGGCCCTCCCGGTAGCATCGACGGTCATCAGGTGTGTGATCTCAGCTTGCTACGCACGAATCGCGCTAACCTCCGGCATAGACCAACGAGTTCGTCACCAAGCTGCCTTACGACGTGATGGCTATCGGCAACCACGAGCTGTACATCTACGCCAACACGCTCGACATGCACACCAATTTTGTACCCAAACTTCACGGACGTTACCTCTCTTCTAACGTGAACATCACCGTCTTCGACAAGCATAACAAGTCTGTCAGCGTGCCGGTCGGTGAGAGATTCGTCAAGTTCAAGACAGAGAAGGGCCGCAAGGTCACCGCGCTCGGCGTTTTGTTCGACTTCACTGGAAACGATGTCAACACTACGGTGCAAAAGGTCGAGGATATGGTCAAGGAGGCTTGGTTCGCCGAGGCTATCAAGGAGGCCCCCGACTTCTTCCTTTTGACCGGGTAAGAGCATGCGATGCTCGGGGACCAAAGCGCGCAATGTACTGACTTCGGTTCACAGACATATGCCCGTTTCGAACGACAACTGGCCGACTGTCTTCAATGCCGTCCGCGCTGTTCACCCCACGACACCCATCCTCATTCTCGGTGGCCACACGCACATCCGTGATTGCAACCAACCCGACGGCCGCTCGATGGCCCTTGAAAGTGGACGCTACATGGAGACCGTCGGCTGGGCGAGCATGACGATTCCAAAATCGCAGCACGCGAACGTCACCTTCACCAGGCGGTATTTGGATCCCAACCGAGTCACGTACGAGTACCACACGAAGCAGAGCAATAGGACATACGACACCTCTCTTGGACAGGAGATCACGAAGGGCCTGCTGAAGCTCTCCAAGGAATTCAATCTCGACGCCGAATTCGGTATCGCGCCGCACGACTTCACCATCACGCGTGCTCCTTACCCATCCAACGATTCGCTCTTGACCCTCTTCGTCAACGAGGCTGCTCCTGTGGCGCTTTCCATCAACAATACCCGCGCTTCGATTCCCCGCATCATCATCACCAACTCGGGCTCTCAGCGCTTTGATGTCTACGCCGGATCTTTCACCAAAAACGACCAACTTACTGCGTCGCCCTTTGCCGACTCCTTCCTTTATCTGCCCAACATCACCCTCGGCGTTGCAAATCAGATCCTCCCGGTCTTGAACAACGAGGGAGAGGAGAAGAGGAGTTTGGAGGTCCTGGAGAGTAGGGAAGCCGAGGCGTATGCCCGGGGAGATGTTGACATGAGGTACAACAAATGGTTGGAGGAGATGGACAAGAGGCACGGCGCTGAGCGTCGCGCGGCGGCGAATGCGACGCTCGGCTACGTCACGAGTGACAAGTGCCCCGGCGTCGGCGACGATACGCTACACGCTCCTCTGCCTTTCTACTCCACCCCCTCGTTCATCGCCTCCGACGCACCCGACGTCTCAGACGATACTCCGATCGACCTCGTCTTCGTCGACTTCATCGAGTCGCAGCTGCTCACGATCCTCAACAGCGTGCAGACGGACCAGAAGTTCACCACGTCCGACGTGCAGTCGTACAGCCCGTTCTTGGCGAGCGAGCTTCTTGGCCTGTTCGCCGAGCGGGTTTGGAACACGACCTCGACATGAGGTCGTATGGTAGTGTACGGCCACGCTGTCAAAATAGTTGTTTAGAATATACGCCGGTTTCCTCGAGCACAGTGGCATGGGTGGGTCACCCGTCACCGTCACCGCCGAGCCCGATCCGAACGCCGTGGTATGCTGTGCCTCGGCACGTGGCTGTCCAGCGCTTGAACGCTGCGCGCCCTGCATCAAACGGACTTCATCTCTCTCGTCACGATCTGTCCTCACGACCTCTGCTGGCGACGGGCAGCTATCAGTGTAGCGGCGTAAGCTTGAGTGACCAACGCCATGACCACACGACGCCAGGCGTCGACGACCTCGCTGTCCAAGTTCGCGCGTGCCGGCTCGCCAGAGCTGAACAACAAGAACCTTGACTTCTGTAATGCCTTTTGGGGCCTCGGCGATGGCGGCGTCGATGTCCTATTTGCGAGGATGCGCGGTGCTTCGCGTACGATGGACGAGTTGAGAAACTTCTGGCGGGAAAGGTCAGCGACGCACCGCATCGTCGCGCGCACGTCTGACAGGGGCTTGATAGGGCAAGCATCGAGGAAGACTATGCGAAGCGCCTCAGCAAACTAGCCAAGGTCAACGTTGGCAAAGATGAGATCGGGTAGGTTTTATTTGCCCTCGTGGTTCAGGTGTCAGAGGTGTCAGGGATGGCTAACGCGGTGAATAGCGAATTACGCAACTCCTTGGACACCCTCCGCCTTGAAACCGATAAGCAAGCGTCATATCACATGAATCTTGCGAAACAAGTCAAGGACGATCTGGAGGCCCAGACTGCTGCGTTCTGCGCGAAACAAGCGCATCACAAGAAAACCTTCCAAGCGGCTATCGAGAAGGAGTTCAAGAACAAGCAAACGCAGGAGTCGTACGTAAACAAAGCGCGAGAGAAGTACGAATCCGATTGCTTGCGGATCAACTCCTATACCGCGCAGTCGACGCTCGTGCAAGGCAAAGACCTCGAGAAAATCAACCTGAAGCTGGAGCGAGCGCAACAGACGGTGCAGGCTAATGAGAGGGACTTCGCCAACTTCGCGAGGGCGCTTGCAGACACGGTTCGGCAGTGGGAGATAGATTGGAAGGCTTTCTGTGACAGCTGCCAGGACATGGAGGAGGAGCGGATGGAGTTCGTCAAGGATAACATGTGGGCGTATGCAAACGCGATCTCAACCGTCTGTGTCAACGATGACGAGGTGAGCACGAGCCCTGTTTCCGAGGAACAGTAGCTGATAAAGAATGGACCAGTCTTGCGAGCATATGCGTCTTTCTCTCGAGCAGTTCGAACCGGAGCGCGACATGGAAAACTTCGTCCGTGACTATGGTACAGGCAACGCAATCCCCGACCCTCCTCAATTTGTCAACTACACGGCCCAAGATGCGGTTCCTTCGTCGGCGACGCGTCCTACGACCCATCCTGCCGTGTTTGCTCGGTCGACCCAACGCACGCGCAGCATGATGTCGTCATTACCCCCAAATCAACCTGACGATCCCCCTGCTGTCAATACTGCGGGAGTGGGAGCTGGCGGTGGCAAAGCGCCAAGCGATACTGCTCTCACTCGCAGCGACACCACGCGGACACAGCCTTATGCCAATGGCACAGGTGCTGGAGCTGGTGCTAGCCCAGCGCCGTATTCTGATCTCTCCCGGAAACCAACGATGTCGTCGCAAGCGCATCAGTCCGGTAGCCCCTATAGAAGCAGTCCCGCGGACCCGGACGCGGAGCCCATCGGTCATAACAGCGAGACGATGATCAAGATCGGGTCGAACGCGTACAAGGTTGACTTGAACAAGGATCCGCAGGCTCAGGGGCCGAATATGGGCCGGCCTGGGTCAACTCCGTTGCAAAACGGGAAGCCTGGCGTTGGTGACGAAACTGATCCGCTCGCGAGGCAAAGGGATATGCTGCTCAACTCTGCTGGCAGTACCCGGCGTACCCACCAGAGTGGGCAGTCGAAGGATCTGCAGAGGCGACCGACACGGAAAGGCACGGCAGATTCTGCTCTTTCTCCCCCGGGTGCAAGTAGCGGCGCTCCATCTCCTGGGCCGAACAGAGACTATCGTAACTCGGCTGAGGTCGTAGTCGGCGCGTATCCTTTGCCAACGTCCCCATCCCGGTCCACGTCGCCGAACGCAAACCCTCCTTCGGCGGCCTTTATGCAACCTCCTCGCCAAGCCACGAGCCCTATCCCAGTCGAGAGTGTCGTCAGCAACTACGAGCAATCACTCCCTGGCGAACGCAAGTCAGTCAACCGGTCGGACAGTCGGCAGGCAAACTACCTAGGCCACAGTCCTCAGCCAAGCCAGAACAGTAACGTTGAGCGCGGTCGCCCCGTCAGTCGCGATGGTCACGCAGGCGTTGGCGCGAACGGACGAAGCAGAAGTCCGCAGCCCATGCAGCCCTTACCTATATCCAGGAGCGCCAGTCCGATCCTCGCTCAGCAAGCAGTCTCCGGGCTTTCGCACCGCAACAGTTACATCCAACCGCCCGCTGCTAGCGGATATCAGGGTGGTGGCGGAGGCCCTCAACGCGCAACGAGTCCCAACATTGCGCTCGATGCCTCTGGTAAGGTAGTGATGGATGGGATGGCGGACCGATACGCGCAACAGCAGCGGCCTCAACAGCAGCAACCACCACCTCAGCCGCAGTGGAACCAACCTCCTCCACCTCCCCCTATCCAGAACCCGGCCACCGTGCAGCGCCGCACGAGCTACCAACCGCCCCCTCAAAACCAGCCGCCTTACGGTGGGCCCCCGCCTACTGCCGCTCCCGTTGGCTATGGCCCGCCACCTGGGCAACAGCAACCACTCCAACGTCAGCCCACATACGGGCAACCGCAACAGCCGCCGTATGGCCCTCCGCCGCCGGCACCGTATCAACAACCGGCACCACCACCTCAACAAGCGGTGTACACGCAACCCCAAATGACCGGATACGCTCCACAACAGCCAGCGTTGCAACGGGGCATGTCGGTCGGGGGAGGATACTACAACCAGCAGGGGTACGGCCACCAACAGCAGCCTTCCCAGCACTCTACGTACAGTTATCGTGCCCCCAGTCCCGCGGCGCAGGTTCAGAGGTCGCCGTCACCGCAACCGCCTCCTCAGCCCTCCGCTCAGCAAGGCCCGCCTCCCACGGGGCAATACACGGAAGACGGCAAACCTGTGCTTTTCTATGGTGCGTGCCTTGTGTGTTTCGACATGTTTCATCCGCTGATCGACATCGTGTCCGCCAGTCAAAGCGCTGTACGACTACCAAGCGACCATCGAGGAGGAGTTCGACTTCCAGGCGGGCGATATCATTGCCGTCACAGCAACTCCGGAAGATGGTTGGTGGAGCGGTGAGTTGTTGGACGAGCAAAGACGGCAGCCCGGTCGCACCGTGTTCCCGTCCAACTTCGTCTGCTTGTTTTGAGAGATTTCGGCCGGTCCGGTGTATCGATCTATCCATCTATGACTCTGATATCCAATTCCACCATCCCGGGCTTCCTTGCTTGTCGGACCGACCATTATGCTTCCGTCGAATTGGTTAGGGGTATCCCTAGCCGCGCATGCTGTACCTACCGATGTCGTTTAGTGCATGACTGCTGTTGTCCCAGACTGTCGCTTTGCTCCGATGATGTTGCGGTCATCTGTATGGTTTCCGAAGCGGCCTTGCTTCTTATTGTACCGCCTCCTAATGCTCGAAGTTGGACATTCAGAGTCAGAGATGAGTTGCGGCGGTATCACATGTGACCGCTGTCCATTGCCGCAAGACAACGTCCGCGCTCCGAAGTGCATATAAAACCTTGATGCGCTGGACCTGACACCGCCCACTTCGTCCACCTCTGTCCACGTCCTCTACCCGCACCTATAGCAGGGTCCATCGTCTGCAAGCCCCCTTGTCGAATTTCCACTCGGATCTTACTGCGACTGCACGACAGCTTTCGCCGTAAACACCACAAGGCCGGCTTTGCCACTCTCCCCTGCACACCGACCATGATGCGCGCCGCGATCAGGCTCTACGAGCACCCGGACTTTGATCTCCCACAACCGTCCTCTGCGAAGCAGCAGCCGGCGAAACTCGCCGTGACGGGGCTGGTGGCGCTCGTATCGGCTACGGCCGCGGCAGTATACTACGTGACGCGGAGTCCGACGGTCCAGGAGACGTACGTCGCAATGGCCTGCGGAGCCGATGGTTGTCCGCTGACCGAGTGGGTTCTTCCCCGGCAGGTTACAGATCCACGATCCGTCGTCCGTGCAATGATCGTCATCGGAAGCGTCTGAGCATCCAACTGCTCTGAAGCACATCACTATCCCCGCTCGTTGTCTCATCACGACAGCGGCGCTATATTACATCAAGATCCTTTTCAGGGAAGGACCCACCTGCAGGGAATGCAGCATGTGGTCGCGTGTACGAAAGCTGAGAGCGAGATGTCTCGGCGCAGATTTCGAGTTTCGACAGGGGTGTTTCCTCTTCGCATATATGTCCAATATCCTCTTCGATATCGCCTTTTGACATCCCACCATGCACTGTATACTATTCACGCACGCTTATGTTGTCCGCTGGGGCTCTGTATATTTATGTACTTTCTAGGTTCGCATACTCGGTCTTGTACATTATCATTGGAATCGGGACATATGTCTTATGAATACGTCGAACGGCAGCGAGTGAATCTTCCTGTGATCGTCGACGTCTCCAAGACCATGCATTTCCGACTCCCCCGAAGGGAAGGAGTTGGTTCTTTTCCCGACCACCTCGGTCACAGTGACAATTTTGTGACCTCCAGCCAAAGCGTGATGAAGGCGTGATAAAGCGTGATCTTGACTCTGGCGTGGGAGCGTGACAGATGTAGGTGTGGGACTGCCTACGTAAGTATAGAGATCAGTTCAGGGATGAACCGGTTCTAGCCGCGTCAGTTTCACATGGTCCCTTTGCCACTGACTGTGGGAGAAACAAGGCTATTTACGTAATCATAATCCCTCAAGGTTTGGCCGGTGGCTATACGTCGAAGCACCGTGACACTTGCCTATTGGGGTACAGTGGATGTAAAGGCACTGTTTGGTGCAGTCGCACTCCTGATGCAAACAATGATTCCGCATGAAGGACGGATTCAAGAGCCTTGATATGAGACTGGGTGGTAGGTCCATGCTTGGATATTTCATATCCGAGTTTTCTAACAAATCGAAGGAGTCATTGATTTGTTTCGAAAATTGTTCACGATGTGCAGCCTGTTTCACTTCCAGTTCCAACCAGATAACCTCCAAAAAATCTAATGCATTGCTTCATATCTCATCCTGCCCGGGGTCCTTTTGTTGAGGGAGTCGGACGCGGCGCTTGGCGCCCCCTTACCCACGTCGTTATGATGCAGAGCGCTCGCCACTTTGATCGGCACCGCCACGCGCAATACCGCCACGACGAGCCACGACCGTACTCGACCACGCTAGGGCGGATTCTACAGGCTGAGCCTCATCATCCACAACGCCTGAACTCGGCTCGCCGGTCCAGCTGCAGCAATGAACTACTCGCTGTACACCATAGACGCGTTCCTGATCATGGACACCGACGGGCATCGGGTACTGGCCAAGTACTACCACCCGCCGGGACACCCTGACGGCGGCAAGGGACTGCAGACGCTGAAGGAGCAGCGCGCGTTCGAGAAGGGCCTGTTTGCGAAGACGCGGAAACCGGGAGGTCAGTCCGTCACCGTCGTAGGGCCATGTCGCACGCGCTCATTCCGCGCGCTAGGTGACATTATCCTGTTCGACGGGCACCTGGCGGTGTACAAGCACTCGCTGGACCTGATATTCTACGTGATCGGGGGCGCGTCGGAGAACGAGCTGATGCTGCAGTCGGCGCTGATCGCGTATTCGGACGCGCTGTCGATGCTGCTCCGGAACCAGGTGGAGAAGCGGGGCGTGCTGGAGAATCTGGACCTGGTACTGCTGTGCTTGGACGAGACGATCGACGACGGGTGCGTTCGCCGTTGCTTATGTGTGGGCCCCCCATCTGACGTGTACTCGACGCTTTTGCAGGATCATCGTCGAAACGGACTCTGCTGCCATTGCCTCTCGCGTGAGCCGGCCTCGGGCGGACACGACGGAGATCGTGATCAACGAGCAGACGCTGCTGAGCGCGTACCAGACGGTGAAGGAGCGGGTGGCGCAGCAGATTGGAAAACTATGATTCGTCGGTGCTAGCTATGTACATGTGGATGTTTGGACGGTGTATTTGTATGGGTAGTACATGGTTCTGGATTCAAGCTCGGAGATGGCTGGGTGTTCTCGAAGCGGCTGGTCCGTGCGCAAGGGCGGGTGATGGTGATGGGGACGCGGGCCTCTGTGCGCTGTCGGTCTCCGCCTGGTTTTCTTCAGCAGGCTTTGTTTCTGTTGCGTATCTATCTATTCGCATCCACTAACTTTCTGGCTCTGCCCCACCTTTTTGTGCGTGTTCTTTGCCAACCCCCCGCGAGTTCCTCCCCGGACCGCCGCCCACACTCCCTACGCGCCCTTGCTCTTTCTCCTCTCTGACTTGCCGTTCTTTCCTTCGCCCCCTCCTTCCTCCTCCTCCTCCTTTTCCGCCATGGACGACGCGCAAGCAGCCTTCGCATCCCAGTACCCATCCTACCCCGGCCTCGATCTTGACATGATGAAGGCGAGTCGTCGCATCCACCCCCACCGCTCACCCGTCCTTATCTCGACCCTAACAGAGGTCCATGGACTCCGTCGGCGGTCCTGATGCCAAAAAGGCGCGCTGGTCTCCCTCCTCCTTCACGTCCAACGCCGCCAACGGTCTCCCCGCCCCTCCGAATGCCTCCGCCCGCGATCCCTTTGCCAACTACGGCTACGGTCCGCAGGCGAGCATTCAGCAGGCGGCTGCCTTTGCCAGCTCCAGCCCCGCCAACGCCTTTGGCGCCAACCAGCTCTACTCGACCCCGTCCCTCTCCATCAACACCAACATGAGCCCCAACGCCGCCGCCGGCCAGCAGATGAGCCCCAACGCCGCCGCCGCCGCCTTCCTCCAGAGCCAGCAGCAGCAGGCCGCCCAGCAGCAGCTCCAGACCCCCGTCAGCGGCAACGGTGTCAATCCGTACGCGAGCCTCGGCGCCTACAACATGCTCGGTATGGGCATGCCCGGCATGATGGGCTTTTACGGCGGCCAGCTCGGCAACTTTGGGCAGGTGGGGGGGTCGCGTTGCTTGCCATTGCCCGTAAAACCGACCACTGAACATATATTTTTTTTTCTTTACGCACGCAGAACGCGAACGGGCGACCGGGCCTTCCCTCGCTCAACATCCCCGCCGCGACCACCTACCAAGCGCAAGCGGCCGGCGCCCTCAGCGCCGCGCTCTCCGCCACCGCCGCCAACGCGACCAATCGGACCGTCTACGTCGGCAACCTCCCTCCGACCGCGTCCGTCGACGAGCTCCTCAACCTCGTCCACTTTGGCCCGCTCGAGAACATTCGCGTCCTGCCCGAAAAGTCGTGCGTCTTCCTCTCCTTCCTCGACGGCGCCACCGCCGCCGCCTTCCACGCGGACGCCACCATCAAGAAGCTCGCCCTTCACGGCCAGGAGCTCAAGATCGGCTGGGGCAAGCCGAGCCCCGTCCCCCAGCAGGTCGCCCTCGCCATCAGCCAGAGCAACGCGAGCCGGAACGTCTACCTCGGCGGACTCGACGAGGCCATGACCGAGGAGCAGCTCCGCGACGATCTCAGCCGGTTCGGGCTCATCGACCAGGTCAAGATCGTGCGCGACAAGAACATCGGATTCGTCCACTTTCTCAGCATCGCCACGGCCAACAAGGTGAGTTTGATAGGCGTTTGGGTTTCGTCGATCGACAGAACCTGACCGTCCCCGCGTTCTTTCAGGTCGTGAACACGCTCCCGACCGAGCCCGCGTGGGCCGGCAAGCGCGTCAACTACGGCAAGGACCGCTGCGCGTACATCCCCAAGTCCCAGCAGGCAGCCGCCCAAGCCGCCCAGGTCGCGGCCGCGCAGTCGCTCGTCGCGCATTCGGCCATGACGCCGGCATCCGCGAACCCCTTCAACTCGCCGTTCAGCCCGTTCGGCGCACCGTTCTCCCCCGCGGACGCGGGTGCGCAGGGGCTCAACCGCACCGTCTACCTCGGTAACATCCACCCCGAGACTCAGACCGAGGACCTTTGCAACGCGATCAGGGGCGGCGTGCTGCAGAGCATTCGGTATATGCAGGATAAGCATATCGCTGTAAGCGTTCGATCGTCGGTGTGATGGACCGCGCGTCGCTGATTTACCCCGACCCTCAGTTCGTCACTTTCGTGGACCCCGCGGCGGCCTTCACGTTCTTCCAGGTCGCGTCCTACCAGGGCCTGACCCTGAACAACAGGCGCCTCAAGATCGGCTGGGGAAAGAACTCGGGCCCGCTCCCGCCCAGCCTCGCCCTCGCCGTGCACTCGGGCGCGACCCGGAACGTGTACATCGGCAACATCGAGGACTTTGACACGTACAACGAGGAAAAGCTCAAGAGGGACTTTGGCGAGTACGGCGAGATCGAGCTCGTCAACTTTCTCAAGGAGAAGAACTGCGCGTTCGTCAACTTTACCAACGTCGCGAACGCGATCAAGGCGATCGAGGGCGTCAAGACCAAGCCCGACTACGCCAACCTCCGCATATCGCACGGCAAGGACCGGTGCGCGAACCCGCCCCGCCAGGGACCCCAGGGCGGAGGCGGCACGCGTCGCAGCGCGTCGGGACAGAACTCGGCCGTGAGCCCGAACGGGTTCGCGAACGCGACCGTCGGCGGTCAGCCGGACGCGGACTCGGACGCCGTCGTCCTCGGCGAGGACATCAAGGCCGACGTCGAGCCCATCACGCCCGAGCCCGTCTCGGCCGTGGTGGACGTCAAGCCGGAGGAGGCGCTATAGAGACGAGAGAGAGGCGGTACTTTTTTTTTGTTGTTATGATCCCGGTACCCCGTCAAGATCGATACCCCCCGCGACCGACACCAGCGAGAAACATACCACTGTTCTCATCCCCCCCATCGTTCGATCGTGTGCATAATGGACATCTCTCTCGTTCGTTGCCCTCTCGCTCGTTGCCCTCTCGCTCTCGCCTCGCGGCCGCCCACGTCCACATACCGGCGTAGGACAGGATACATACTCGTGGGGATTTCGGTGGACGGACGAAATAATGGTTGACCGCGGGACACACGCGCACGTTGGTGCCTGTGCCGCCCCCCTTCGCAACGGAGTACGGACACGACAAAAAACCTTGCGTGGACTTTGGGCCGTTGGTTGACCGTGTTTATCCACTTGGCTTTCGAAATAAGGATCCCCCTCTGCCTGTTCTGTTATTCTTCCCCCCCCTTTTTTCCCTTCCTTCCTTCTTTCTTTCTTCTAGTCTTTTTCCTCGTTGCCCGCTGTGCACCACCAGCACACCCTCACGCTCATTGCTCGAAAAGGAGGCGCTGTCGAGACCCCCCGACGATTGTGATGCTAACCGACTAATACATACACCCCTGCCCTCGCGCGCGCTGTTTACCATAGCAACACCCATGTAACCCCTGATTTCTCTGCTATATATTCTCGTGTTCAAAGTCTCAGGAAAAAAGGCTTGTTGTATTATGGCGGAAAGTGTAGGAGAATTAGGTACGTGATTATGATAGCACCCGTCCTACTGTCTCTCTCTCTCTATCTCTCTCTCTCTCTAGTCCCTTGCCTGTGCTTCCCGAAGAAGCTCGTGAAGACCAAGATCGGTTTCAATCTGGAGCGGCACGACGACTATGAGATGACGATGCGCCCAATAAAGTCCTCGAGCCTTACCTGCCGCCGTCGCTCCACCTCCTCTAGACCGGCGGAAGTGCGGAATACGGAGTCGATCTCCTCCAGGGGCACGTTCGCGGTCTCGGGGACTCGGTACGTCGACCATAGATAGCCGGCGAAACAAGCACAGGAGAAGAGTAGGAATGTCCCGCTGTGAACGCGTGGTGTTAGTATTGCACGCGTCATCATCCTGGCACGCACGAGGCGGAGAGCTCCATAAGCCCCGGAGTGATGAGCCCGATGATAACTGGATGGTTATTGTTATTGGCATTTTCGATGGACGACGGAAACAGGACGCAACGTACAGTTGTTGAGCCAGTTGGATGCCGTAGAGAGCGACACGCCCCTGCTTCGCATCGATTGCGGGAATACCTCGCTCGGAAGGACCTTGGCGTGGGCGTCAACCACGCATCCATCGAGGCGTTCCATTGACTTACCCAGCCAATCGGCCCGTAACTGACGGAGTACGCAGCAGTGAAGAGGTATACGCAGCTGGAAAGAATGGGGTAAAGGGATTGCCATACGTCAAGGGCGTGATCACTGACCCGACGGCAAACCATGCCGCCAGCGCGTGTTTCGCCCAGTCGCTTTGGTATTGCCAGACCTGCAGAGGGGTCGGAAACGGTCGCCCTTGATGCCCGCGATGACGCTCACCAGAAGTGCGATAACGAGATGCGCCGAGGCCATGACAGCGGATCCGCCTTGGAGGACGTATGAGCACCGCTACCATGCGCCAAGGCGTAGGATGATGTACGTACCTCTAAGCAGGGGTCTCCGACCTTTCATTGGATCACGTTAAGCTTCAGGTATACATGACTCGGTATGGATGCATACCGAGGCTGTCGATATAGACAATAGCGGGAAATACCCCTATCATCTGGACGATGCTGACGCCGCCAGCGACTATGAGCGACACGCCGTCACCACGCAGGCCGATACTTTGAATAAGTGTAGGGCCATAGTACAGCAGAGCGTTGATACCGGACCACTCTTAAAACATTGCGGATATCAACGGTCGTCGTATGGAGATGAGATTTGGCAACCTACGCTGGAAGAACATCATCAGAACACCGACTAGAGTTCTATCGATGTACTTCTTGCTGAACAGACGGGCCCAAGCGTGCACTTCGGCATGCAGACCTTTCTTCGGGCTCGCACCCGTAGACTGCTCCACGAGGGTGGCTTCAACCTGCATCTCGAGCAACTCAACCTACAATCACCTTATTAGAGAACCCAAACTGCGTGAGGGACGAGATCTTACCCGTAAGAGCAGGTCTGAGTCGACGTCAGACATATTCCGTAGTTTTGCGAGGGACCGTCGAGCTTCAGCGATCCGACCCTGCGATACCAGTAATCGAGGAGAGGGAGGTAAGAAGATACATCCGATGCTAAGAAGGAGACCAGGAAGAAGCTGTATGCCGAGTGGGATACGCCACGACAGCGAGCCAGATACTGCGACACGATGATCGTCAGAACTGAAATTCGTGCGGTGGATGAAAATATGAAGGTCTCACCGTCACGAGTGAAGTATCCCGTCCAGAATCCGAGGACGACCCCGAAGACTATGGCCAACTGTTCAAGCGCCATGAGTGAGCCTCGAAGCTCTGGTGGGCTGATCTCTGCCATGTAAAGCGGAGATAGCATGCTATGAATGTATACTCATCAAAAACCCTTCGCACGAAACACGCCAGAGGCATACCTCAGCGCGCCGACTCCTAAACCGCCCACGGCCCTACCAAAGACGAGATTTCCAAATGTGACGGCGCCACACTGAAACGCAGCACCGATGCAAAACACGACTTAGTAGTGTTGATCTGTTCGGTGTTCAGATGCGGCGGGAACAAGGATGGGAGGACGAACCACACGCAAAGAAGATTGAATGCCGACGAGAGTAACGGTCTGCGAGTGTCCCTGCGGCCAGCGCACCAAACAGACAGCCGAGTTCCAGTACCGCAGCTGGTGTTTCTATCATCAACAACCTAGCGTTGATAGCATGGTCGCCGCGACGTACTCATGAGACCCTTCTGCCATGCGTCGATAGGGAATCGTTTCTCGAAGTCTTTCATCACCAAGACGTTGGCAATAACGCCTTGGTCGTATCTGTTATTACGGAAGTCAATGTCATCGTTGGCCCCAAAACACGACAAGGCCTCACCCGAACGTCAATCCCCCGATCGACGCGAACACCGCGCATCCGAGGGCGTAGCGATTGTGCAGCAATCCCTGAAGGCCCTTTGGTCCGTAAGAGTAGGAGTAGTTCCCATCCTCATCGACAACTAGTCGTCCTGACCGCCGAGGCAGCAGTACATCTCCCTCGTCGTCCGGACGGGCAACGTAGTCGGTCATGAGCGGTATATCGCTACTAGCGGAGAAACGGAGCGAGAGTCGGCCCGAATGGCCCTGTTACAACTTACGGCATGTCCCGCGAACTACGTATTTTGATGAACGGGCGCTCATCTCGATCCATGAGGCCTTGAGGTTCCATCCATAAGTATCCTCGAGACCTCCGGCTGTCATCCGTTTTCTCCGGAGCACCGCCAGTTCAGGTTCATGACCATCGATGACTGGCATAGTATCACCACCCTCGTCGTCTTCCTCTTGACCAGTACGTTCGAACTTCAGCTGGTCTCTCGGACGGGTTACACACAAAGATCATTCCTCCAGATGCTATTGTGGTGTTTCCGTTCCATGTTACACTGCGCGTTCCCGCATGGCCTCTCCGCCAATCACGTCGAATACTAGAACGCCATCGGATCGTCCACTGCGCTCAGGATGCTGACCAAGGGGTGCACAGGAAGAGAAAATCATTGTTCTCAGAGTTCCGTCTCCCGGTCAACTTCGTCGTTGCACCTCTTGTTGCCGTCTTATTTCTGCTGGCTACGCGCTCCATAGGGAAGAATGAGGTAAAACATGGAATTATCGGGTCGGACAAGTGCGTCCTCACTTGATCATATTTTTGAAGCTCAATAACGACTATAATCAGTATTCACCCCATAGACATCATGGCGTTTTTCCTCGCCCTGGTACTTGCTGCAGTTTTTGTACACGAACGCTAGTGACTGACGTATCCCAGGCCTACATGGCGATATCCTTGGACTCTACCGGTCTCATAGGTTTCCTGGCGCTGCTGGTCTTGAGGAAATGTGGCGAGATGGGCCGCCGTTTGTATCTACTCCTTTACATTTTCTTCTTCGGTTTGGGTACCCTCATCGGCAACGTGAGCGCCTTCCGCTCCCGCGGTTGCGTCTTTAACAGACCTGATAGGATCCCATTATCCTGAGTGGTACACCGTTTCTTGCATACTTCACGCATTTGGCTGCCAACATCGACAATCCGAAAGCGTGGATATTTGCGCAGTTTTGCGTCGCAAATATCTCGTCGGCGATCCTGGTATCTTCGAATCCGACCAACCTGGTCTTGGCTGGTGCATTCAAAATCAAGTTTATCACATACACCGCCAACATGATTGTGCCCGTCCTGATCACTGCGCTTGCACTGTTCCCTTGCCTGCTATTTCTCGTCTTTCGAGGGAAGGGGCTCATTCCACACCACATCAGGATCCACGACCCACAAAGCTCCGAATCAAAAAATGAACAAGCTCGCACCGCAAGGTCATCTTCTCAAGAAGCTTTACCCCCCTATACCGAAATCAGTCAACCAGACAAAGAAAAAACATCAGGAGGATCGGTTACTCGCGAGGGCCTCTCTCTTGAAGAACTCCTCAATCCCTCTCTGGAAACATCTCGCGCTGTATTTGGCAGCGTACTCATCGCGATTACTCTGGTCGTCTTGCTTGTCACCAATGCGACCGGCGTTGCGCCGGGCGTGTATGCCATCACTGTGCCGGCAGCATTTGTCATGCTCTGTCGGGACGTCTTTCACGACTTGCGCCGTGCTCCGGAGACTGAGACAGCCTCGAGGGATGGCTCGGTTAACGAAACAAAAGTGCAATACCCGCCATCTGCACATAGAACGAAGGATAATGCTTCACTCAAGCCCGTTCTTGCTCCGGAGACTGGGCTACCCTCGAGCAACGATTCCTTTGACCGCACGAATGTGCAATGCTCGCCTGCGCATACGCTTGGGCACAACGCTTCACTCGATGAGCCCGTCCTTTCTTCAAAGAACGGGCCACCCTCAATCGATGAATCCTTTGACGAAACGACGGTCCAACGACCACCGCCTTCACATTGCAAGGGAAATGAACCTTCGCAGCATGAGCCCATCCTTGCGCCTCCTGCAGATCATTTCACCATGAACGGGGACACGCAATATAGGATATTCGAGTCGCCTTGTCATTCCGTTCACCATGGTAGCTTGCAGACTCTACCCTCTCGACGCTCCCCACTAGCATTAGATGAGGACCGTGCTCTGAGCGACGTCCTCGGCGACAGAAGGCGTTACGTCTGCAAGAAATTCCCCACCGTCTCGAAGGTCTTGCAGCATCTCCCATTCCCGATGCTACCCTTCGCATTCTGCATGTTCATCCTCGTGGAGGGTCTCGTGTCCAAGGGTTGGGTGGAGGTATTTGCAAAATGGTGGTCGGCATGGGAAAGGATGACGGGCGTGGTGGGAGCTATCGCAATGATGGGCTTCGTGAGCGTCTGTTTGTGCAACGTAAGTGATGGTATTGCTGTTCAAGCTATTCAGCCGGTGACGTCAGACACAGTTCGCGGGGACCAACATCGGGGCCACGATCTTGCTATCTAGAGTTTTGCAGGTATGGCTTGAACAGCACTCTCCATCTGACCGCATGAAGTCCGCCGCGGTGAGTGCTATTCGCTGTGGTACATGTGCCTTTGTGTCATGCGGTTCGTGCACATAGATCTATAGCCTTGCCCTGGGGGTCAACTATGGCGCATTCAGTGCAACTTTCAGCGCGTCTCTCGCTGGGTTGCTGTGGCGAGACATCCTGCGCCGCAAAGACATTCGTGTCCGCGCCAGGGACTTTGCGACAGTGAATCTTCCTATCATTGCTATCGCAATGACTGTGGGATGCGCCGTGCTTGTCGCCGAAGTTTGCATTGTCAAAAGTGGTGAGGTTAAATCTTCCTAAGCTCCGCGCACTCCTTGTACTATATTCCAAGCATCACTCCGGAATTGTGTCTATTTTGCTACCGCCGCGTTGTCGTAGTCCAGTCATGAATGTTGAAATCTTGGATTCGTACTATAGGCCAACAGAGATTATTGTGTACATGATGCGGGCACCTTAAGTCGTACATGAAAACACGATATACAATACATGTACAACAGAAAACACGGTGCAAACGAGAGCGATAGATAACAGACGAAGTCACCTCATCATTGACGCACAGGCTCTGTTGTGGTCGACCTCGTGCGTGCAGTCAATGGCATAGGAGGCCCAAGGTGCGCGGAGGAAGCGTGCTGCGACCGCGTCCCAAGGGTATCACTCGATGCCTCTCCTTGGACGGTGGTCGCGTGCGACATGGGATGCCCCCCATGTCGGTCAGCGTTCTGAATGGACGACCTGGAGCTGGAAGCACGGCGCTCGTACCACTCTCTCTGAGCCCCCAAATTTGGGTTTCTCAGCTCTTCACCAGGGACGAGGGGATACCGCCGCGACTCGAGGTCACCAAAGCCATCCTCACCGTAGTGGCGCTCGGTGGGCGTGCCGAACCATATCGCGAGGCGCTTGATATGCCCAGCGAGGCGGCGACGCCCACCGGGGTCGCGGCCACTGGCAGACAGGCTCTGGCTGCTCAAGTTGTGAGGAATCCCGTCCGAGTTTTGGACGACGATGGCGGGTATGGGTTGGCCCATTTCTAATGGCGGCGGCACGGGCTGTTTGCCAAGAAGCTCAGTACAGGCGGAACCAAGTGCTGTCAAAACAGCCCCGACTATTGGACTCCATTGCCCTACGTATCATTTAGTTCGTTTTCGTGCAAGAGGGTTCGGACTCATGGACACGGGTGCGGGTACCAGCAGCATCAATGGATTCCAACTCACCCACTGCCGCCATCGGCTCGACGCCGCTGCGCATTTGAGGTGACCAGAAGTTGAGCTCTCCCAAGATGACGATGATGATGAAGAAAACGGCGAAGACTGCACGTTCCATAAGCTCGAGGCCGAACCGCAGGTAGCCCGATATCCTCTGCTCCGTTCTCTGTTGCCCTCTCACAAGCGGGTTTGGCGTCGGTTCCGGCGCTTTGCGGATGCCTAAGAGTACGGCGTTTTCGGACAAGATCTTGTTCCACATGGTGGCCAAGGAGATGAACGTCGGTATGCAGCATGCTAGACTGACCAGTATTGCCGCGCCGGGTGTCATTCCTCTGCTGGGTACGAGGATGAACTGTGGATCGGCATCAGCACCTGGACGGATCGGAGAGAACACGGTGTCTGTGGTGCATAGGGCGGGACATGCTACCGACGATGCGTTGACGGCGTTCTTGAAGCCGTCAACGGTTAACGTTTCGCTATCGTCCCCGTGACATACGTGTGGTGATATTCGAAAAAAGCAGACCGCCAAGGATACTAATCCTGAGGGTTTTTGTTAAGGGCATTCGCGCGTTTCGGTTGATAAATGTAGAGACAGCCCTACCTGTAAGGCTTAATATACTCCACACAAAAACGATATTTCTTCCGGGTGTTTCGAAGTACACCCGAGACAGCCGAACCGACGTGGGCGCAACAAGCACCCCCAAGGCGATAAATTGCAATGCACCAAACGCATCAAGGTCCACAAAACCTGCGACGCTGGCATTGGTATGCGACGACGTTGTGCGCTATATGACGTACCTCTATGTGAAAAGGCGGCTAGGACAATGGCGTGAAAGCTCGCGATCGCGGGAAGGAGCAGCGCGGCGGCGACCGACGCACTCCTGAGCCATTCAGACTTCTGTGCGAAGATGCACACCAAGATGAGAGCGTAGTATAGAATCCGTGAGCCAGGCCCATATTGCCCGCTCAATGGGAACGTGCAGACGGCATGGGCAATGTCGGAGCCAGAAGATCGGCTAGCAATGGCTCGGAAGCCGGGAGGCGACATGGGGTACGCGGGGTATGAGCGCTATGAGAGCGAAACTCGTCCGCTCTCGTATACCGACTTCGATAGCTTGTCATGGCGTCGCCAGCGCTTACACTCGGAATGGCGTCGTGTTGTTCTCACCGTCGAGAGCGGAAGATCGCGGACTTTGAGGAACCTCGCGCCCCAAACTGCAAGGCGGTGTGGCATTTGCGCTCATCTGCGCCGCAGCTTGATGCCCTCCAGTTCAGCGCCTTCGCTCTCGGGCTGGCGCACATCCATATGGATCGTGTTCGGGTCAATATCGCCGTACGAGTCCTTCTTGCGCTGGAGCTTGACCATTCTTGGCATGGTCAGATGCTAAGCGCGTCGGGCGGCGATACGTAAATGCGCAAACTGGGCGCTCAAGTAGCCTCGCAACCCTTGCAGGCTCTGCAGCATGGTGCAGATACAAGACTCGCGCACCCATGGTCCGCGCGCCTTTGTCAATCATTCGATCAGGCCCACGGACGACCCATGGCCGATATCAGCGACTGGCGTAGTGTCGTCACTCTCATTGTATTTATACTGGCAAGTGAGGGTTGTGGCCAAATCGTTCAATCCTCCAGTGCAAAAATCGGTGCTGATAGAAAATGAAGATGTCTTCGTAGTTTTTCCTCAAAACGTCCCAGTACCAATATGGGCTGCACGGCGTTTAAGGTCCCTGCTTGCCCGCACACGCATTTATCCCTTGCCGGCCCCCGCCGCCGACGACAGCTCGGATAACATGACCGGGAGAGATCCTGCGAAGATGTCAATACCATTCAATTTTGTCACTGCACCTTTGACTGCAGTTGTCGTTTTGCTCGCGATCCGGGCTATCGGTCGAACGGAGATAATTCATGGCATTATCGGTACAGAGCAGTAAGCAATGCAGCAATCCAGTCATCTCCGGACAATTAGAAGACACTGACGCCATTTGCGTCTTTCATTCGCAGTATCCACCCGATTGATATCATGGCGTTCTTCCTAGCCTTGGTGATGATCCCACGTCACAATTCTATCGCATCGCATACTCATCTATCTTGCAGGCCTACTTGGCAATTTCTCTAGATGCAACTGGCCTCATACGATTTCTGGCGTTTTGGGTCCTAAAGAAGGGCGGAAAGATTGGCCATCGCCTCTATTTCCTGATTTACTTGTTCTTCTTCCTGCTTGGATCGTTCATCGGTAACGTCCGTACTTGGTTCTCGTTCATCTTCCTCGTATACTCATTCGGAGAGCAGGATCCGATCATCCTCAGCGGCACCGCGTTCACTGCCTATCTGACCAGGGTAGCGTCCAACATCGCGAACCCGCGAGCATGGATCTTCTCCGAATTTGCCATCGCCAACATGGCGTCCGCCATCCTCGTATCGTCCAACCCGACCAATCTTGTCCTGGCTGGTGCTTTCCAAATCAAATTTGTCACCTACACCATCAATATGGTCGTCCCCGTCGTAATCACTGTAGCGCTCCTATTCCCCTTCCTCCTGTACATCCTCTTTCCCAGCCCCGACCTAATCCCTGTCAAGATAGAAATGCACGAGCTACCGGAGAAACCTCAGACGGCACCCAGGAACCGGATCGGTCGCACGGCTTCAACGAACAAGGCCAAAGGCCCGAAAATCGGGAAGACACGAGTCGAACAGGAGCTGTACGACCTCGAGTGGCAGAACGAATATCCTCTGGAGGAGCTGGTAGACCCATTCTTGGAAGTCAAGGGTGCTATCTTTGGTGGTGTTCTCTTCGCCATCACTCTGATCGTACTCCTCGCCACCAACGCCGCGGACGTCGACCCAGGAGTATATGCCATCACGGTACCCGCGGCCTTTGTCATGCTCTGTCGGGACATCGGGTACGATTGGCATCATCGGAAAGACCCAGACCGAAAGGAAGGCGCAACCGCTCTGGCGCAGCAAACGGGCGTGAAGCAAGGCCGTTATCCACAAGAACAGGCGACGAGCACTACTTCGGCGACGATTGGTAGCCGAGGGACTCCAGCGGAGGACCAAGCATCCATCGACACGTACGTGAGTACGGGTACAAACCGGGAGCCGGAACGCCATTCTCCAGGATCAACACCGGTTTCCGAGACCGCATCGAGTTCGGGTGAATTCACCCCGCACAACAATGGCTTCTTAAGACCTCCCTCACCGGTACTACCGTCTCCTCCGTTCCCCCAGCCTGAGCCGTATCATCATCTTGTTCTGCCGGGTCAGGATATCACAGCCGTGTGCGACCGAGAGCAGGCTCACTCTGATCTTGCATCAACTTTGCGCAAGGACCCTGGGGTCCATCCGCAGACCGCGTACAGCGTACTTATCGCAGCAGGACTGTATTCCGAGTCCAAATTGCCAACGGTGGCAGCGGTCGTGAAACACCTGCCATTCGCCCTTGTTCCTTTCGCGTTCTCGATGTTTATCATCGTCGAGGGACTTGTCACCAAAGGATGGGTGGAGCGATTCGCGTCTGGTTGGGCAATTTGGGTCGACAAGACGAACATTGTGGGTGCTATTGGTGGAATCGGATTCTTGAGCGTCTGCCTGTGTAATGTGCGGTTCCTCAAATGATATGCCCCGGTCTACGCTTATCTCTTGTTCTTACGATCTTCCAGATGGCCGGAACAAACATAGGGACCACCATCCTTCTTTCGCGCGTGCTCCAGGAATGGTTGAAACATCATACTCCTTCAGAGCGCATGAAGGACGCGACGGTCCGTCGTCAGCTTCGCCACATTTCCCCAAAGGTCCTATTAAACCTTGTCGGCTTCATAGATCTACGGCCTTGCGCTCGGTGTGAACTACGGCGCATTCAGTGCCACTTTCAACGCGTCCCTGGCGGGGTTACTTTGGCGAGACATCCTGGCACGAAAACATATAATCGTTCGAAGGCTCGACTTCGCCCGAGTCAACCTGCCCATCATCGCCATTGCAATGGGTATTGGCTGTTCCATACTCACTGCTCAAGTATATATTGTCAAAGACGGGCATATTCCCGCTTGCAAGGCCCACTCTCCAATGCACATAGATAGCAATGGCACATGCCGGTAGTCTTTCCACAAAACGCGCTTTTCCTGTGATAGCAACGGTATATGTATAATATAGTTGCCATCAATGCTATCCGAACGATACGCGGTGAACCAATATGGATCACAGTAGGTCCACGACGCCCCGAGTAGGTGACAGAACGGCAACAACCTTGCCCTCGAAGTCGAGCAGTTCTCCGCTTTCGGTAGCAACCATATCACCAATCGAGTCACCGTGGCTGCCAAGCAGCTTCTCTATGTTGGTGGATACTAGGGCAAGGGCGTCCGCCTTCGTTATAGTACCATTGGAATCAAAAGCGGCCTAAAAAGGCCAGATTAGAAGCGGTAGTATCAACCTATGTAGGAACACGACATACCCAAGCCGCGTCCCAGCGAGCATTTCTTGCCGCCCAGTTATTCATGGCCTGGACATTTCCAATACCTTGCGCGTGTTATAGACATTGTAACATATGTGATAAACCAAGGATGCGCATACCTTGATGACCTATCCCAAGGGTGACGTTGTGCCTAAAGAGACGTGTGATAGCGCTTTCGGCGCTCAGGGGCGGACCAGGAAGTCTGTAAATGTAAGATTCTCGTTAGATGAACGAGATGGCATCGTGGAATTTGGGTACGCGCATCCTGCGTTGCTCCCAACCATAGGGGAATTGTCGTGGTGGGGTAAGAATCACTCCAACACCCGCCTCCGCGATTTCCCGAGCCAGTAGGTGGGCTTCAGCGGCCCCGAGCAAAGTTCTGCAGAACAGAGAGTTAGCGACAAGACGACAGCAGACAAGAGCGATGTCCCACAGCTTTAATGCACGACCGGACGAGTCTTCGACGTCCGCTTTGAGCCGAAGCAGTGTGCTGATGATGTCGGCGCTGTCCACGTTTACTACCAATGGTATGGAGCCCTGCTTGCGTTGTTGATATCTGCATGACTCCCTGTCGATGAACATACCTGAGCAGCCTTTCGGAACCATTTGCCAGCTTCTCCAGGGACCTTTTCCGTCAAGAGGCGACGTAAGACTAATGCAGTTGCTCGTCATACGGAATTCGGGAACATCCTCCACGGATCACGTACCCGCGATTTGAGTGCTCACACTGGCTAGCACGTTGTGCGAGATTGATACGTGCAGTGCCGCGATATCTTGCAATATCGGCTTTTGGTTGACGGAAGCGCCGAGGTCGATTACGGTGCTGAGTCCCTGTAGGAACGCAGCACCGTCGCTCATGGGCGCCGTGATGGACTTCGTCACGCCCGAGCGCCATGCAAGGAGGGCATCTCTCGTGTGCGCCTGGAAGCCATCTGCGGCCCTGATCACCGGAAGGTCGCCGAGAATTGATGGTACGTCTCCTTGCAAGGAATCCGGGAGTGGGCCATCGGTGGTGGAAGGTTCCATAGGAATCTCGGCCAACCCTAGTGCCGTGCCCACGGACACGAGAGCGGGTGCTACTGAGCCTCCCCGAAGGTTCACGTGATGGGACCCAGGTTCGGAGAGAAAGCTAGCGCATCCGTCAGTGGTGCTCTTACAAACGATCTTGCCGTTTCGTATAGCAAGCACCGCCGAGCTCGGGGTTTCCACTTTAAAAACAGGGACGATTTTGCCCTCCTCGCTCATCCACATGCTTGAGATGTTCTGGAATACGACCAACCCTGAGTTCGACTTCGAAGACTGAGGTGCGAGGGGAGGATGGCCTTCGTAACGTATATCCCGAGCAACGTCTTCCGAGAAATCCGGCGTTTTGGGTGGTTGCTGCTGAGAATCCGCTTTCGGGCTCAAATGAGGGACCGAGATCTGCGGAATGCCATCGATGAACACCTGAAAAGGTGTCGCGCCTAACTGTAGCGGGTGCGAATCCCAAACCACGACGTCTACGGACGGGACGACGATCAGCGATGGTGCTCAAGGGTGCGCCGAGGCTACTAACCTGCGTCATATCCTGCGTCATATTTCGTGTCAGCGCGAAGGCTGGCAGAACACACGAGAACTGTTACCTTCTTCGATGTAACCGATACGATGATCCACGCCCAGCACTTTAGCAGGAGTAGTGATTACAGACCGAAGGGCAATGCTCTCCGGAAGGCCCTGGCAATCGGGAATCAGACGTGCTTCATTCGTTGTGAATGATCGTAATGGTGTACGTAGTAATGTGCTTGTTGAGCCTCGTGCATGAGGTATCGGGATACGATAGCAGGCGCATCACTGTGAGATTTCAGTCGACATATCTCTGTAGACGGTTTGTGGAAGTCATAGTCACCTCTACCAATGAAATCAGACAACGTTTCGGGAAAAAGAGATGAAAAGCGATCACCTTCATGACCACCTCAATACCCTCATTAGCCAATATTCGAGGAGCGAACACTGTATGCCTGGTCGTCGCTTAGTGTCGTGCGCATGATTAGCAAGTGCTAGAGATGTAAACGCACCTATATGCTTCCCGCTTATAGCTAGAAGTAGATTGTACGTCAGCTCGAAAACCGGTTGTGGGATGGGACAATTAACCCAGAGAAGCTAGCGAACATGGCTATCGCCGGCGGATGCTCTGTCCCTCCATCAACCCACCATTAATAAAACCCTTTATTACTCGTGCTTGACGACGTACCGTAAGCACTTTTCAGTAGGTCAGGGACAATCCACGCTTCGTGAGCGTGGTGAAATGCGGCGACAGGAAACTTGAATTCGTTGGATAACTGACAGGAAGCACGTTAGGGGCTGAAAGAACAAGGATATATCTACCGTACCCGCACAAACTCATCTGCAGGATGGTATTAGTTATCGATATGCTGACGAATATCCTGATGCTCACCGAAGTCGACGGCCTCGTAGCAATGCGTTTGGACTATACGACGTCAGGCATCGGTCATCTCGAGAAATCACATACCTACCCTACGTTAGAAAGTCATCAGCATGTGATCAGACCTTTGGCAAGAGGCTGGACCTACCTTGACTTTCCCTCTGAGAATGTCGACCAGAGCCTCGTATTCCAAATCCTCAGGGAACGATTTAGAACCGATGCTAGTCCAGTCGCCGTCGGAAACTTTGAGACAATAATCGTCCTGGGCGTTCTTAATCTGACGGGCCTTGTCATATCTATAGCAGTTTGAGGGAAGTCCAGACGAAGAGGGAATCGGCGCACGCTTTACGCCATTGCCAAGTCGTATCCATACGCGTCTGGCCATAGACGCCCCCTAAGTTGCTGTCAAACAGGAAGTCGCGCAGAACAACGCATTGGTTGACATACTTGGATTTTCGCCTGTAGAAATATCAAGTTCAACGCGCGCTTTGCAGAGCAACAACGACATTACCGCAAGCGTGTTTCATGTGCCTCCACCTGGGCGGAAGGTGCAGATCCACGTCCGACCCGTTCAGCGAAAAAGGAGGTTCCAACAGCATTGAGGTTGGCGTCCTCTCTTTTGTCGGCCTGAGCTTCATGAGAATACCCTGTCCGCCTAGACACAGCATGAGCACATGCCAGCCGCTGAGAGGATTGAGGTACCGATGGCATTTGCAGAGCCTGGCAAGACAAGTGAGGTAGTCACGCCGCCTGCTACAGCGAGACGGAACCCTTCATCGTGCGTGTTCAATGCATCCACTGCACGTAGGTAGGGAAGAATTGGCCCATGAAGGGAATTGCCGTCGGTGGCTCCAGATAGTGCTGGATGGGGCTCGACACCGACGTGAGAGTGCAAGTCTACGATTCTGTTGGGTAATTCTCAAGCGCCACAATAGCTAGTAAGGAAGTCGTTACTCACCCTGGTGTAATCCATGACCCTCGCGCGTCCACAGTGGCATAGTCGCTGTACGCCGCGAGAGTCTCAGTATCGATTCTCCCGACCGTCTTCACCAAGCCCTTCTCCAATAACACATCCCCTTTGATGATCTCAGCCCCGCCGTTTCCTCCTGTCCAAATGGTCGCGTTTTTTATGAGCACAGGTCGCGCCTCGCCAGGGACGTAACGATCGGAGACCGTCCGTTTTTCTGTAGGAGCAGCGGGCTTGACATGAAGCACGCGACATCTCGCCAAGGTCTCCTCTGCGTGCAAGGGCAATTCCTGCGAGGCTCTGCTTGAATCCAAGGTGATGTTTTTGAACAAACTCGCGAGTGCGAAGGCACTGAGCAACGCGACGCCAATCTTCGTCGACCAAGAATGACTGCGGACCTGGCGAGCTGGCCCCGGAGTGCCCATAGGTAGGGCCGCGTAAGCCATCGCCATGGTGCGGTCTGGGATAAGGGAGCAAAGGCTGCGGATGCAACTGCGCGGCATGCACCCATACTTATGTCGTGCACCCTTGCATCATGCAGCTGCGGCCGGACGCGTCGTGACTCTCAGGGGCGATCGCGAGCCATGCGGTGCGCTCCGGCGAAGCAGAGCCGATAAATAAGTACGAGCACGTTCCCGGCATGTTCAAACGACGCTTTGCTCGAGGCCGAGCGCGGTGCACTCTCCATAAGTCATGCATACTTATGACGTTCCTCCGGGCTCAGAACCGTACACATACACCGTAACAGACACATACCGCCATGACTACGGCAGGCAAACCAGTCACCAGTCATTCCACATGTACGGTCGTCCGAGCCTGCCAGGTTCGCCGCGACTCCCCTCTAGTATCCCTACGATCTTACGAGACTGCCCGCAGGAATCAAAGCAGGTTTTTCAGCGCCGCGGCACAGGTTGGTTGAGGAGTGGAAGGCGGATGGCATCAGGATGCACGAAGCAGACATATTCTCTGCCTCCAGGCCTGCCGCGGAAAAGTGCCGAAAGCGATCAACGAGTCGAAGGTATTCGAAAGGCAGATTCTAGAGGCCTGTTTCAACCTTGAAACCCGAAAGAGAATACAATATATTGTCAGACAGGTTGCGTGGATGGAGCTGCATGAGAAATCACCGATTTCGTCGCTACCCAAAACTCCGCTTTGTATATCCAACGCATCATAGCACGCGAATCCGCAGTATATTCACAGTCGATTGTGCGGGGACGCAAAATGTCCATAGATGGTCCGTGATGATCGTTGATTGATGATTCGGCACCAGAGAAGCCACAGTAGTTCGAATCGAGTCCTGTTATAACGAACCCCATTTCCTTTGCAACATCGTAGACTTCTTCCAAAGAAAGTTCGACTGACGCCTGTGCGCCACCCGTCCAAAGCAAAGGCCCTAAATTGATCCAAGTACCTCCTAACCTCGGCATAAGATCTCACATCCTCGAATAGGTGGTGGCGCAGCGTACCAGGTTTGAGCAAAGAGTATATCTGACGGATCGTCGCAATAGCGTTCAAGCTAGTGTCAATGAAGAATAGGGTTACAATATAGTCGTAGCCGCACTCTCCGCCGCGGCTCTCGGGGACGTCCAGTCTCAGGAAGTCGCCCTCCTTCAGTGTGAGGAGTTCTGTCAGACGAGGAACTACGTCGGGGAATGCGATCCCGCGAAACACGGCGTCACGATTCCGCTGGTGGGACCACCAATGGGCATATGGATGGACAGTGTGCTGGCCTATGGACTGTGTTGTGGCCGGAGAATGCAGAAACCGAGCGGCCATGGTCATGTATGGCGACAATTCGTTTGCCGTTGTTCGGAAGCCTGCAGATAACGGGACTGCCATGAGTAGGCAGAGCCAAGTAGTGCATTGGACTTCACCTAGCTGAGATATCTCCCATGCGAGCCGGCCGAGTCCTGAACCGGGCACGAGGACATGCATTTCAACTCGCCGTTCCACGTCTACTGCCTTGAGAGCATCCAGTATAGGCTGGAATATCACGCCTCTTTCAGGTGCGCCATCTTCGCTCCAATCACGAACGAAGTGTTTGAATACTTCGCGTACTTTTCCGATATCTTCGCGTCCTGTAGCACAAGAACTGCGGTAGGTAATATCAGGATATGCGTCTGCCGCCGTGGAAGCGATGCTTCGTGCAATTCGTGCATTCGTAGTCGTTGCGAGGCACAACCGGTCAATCTTACGGGGATACCCGATTGTATAGCCAATACGCTTGTCGCTCAACCCGAGCTTAGAATAGGAAGCTCTTATCCTGCTGATGTCTGCGTTGGCGAGCGACGCATACGAGTTATATGATCGGAAAGCTGTCTCTGGCGCAAATGGATCTGTGAACGCTGAGACAGGGTAGCGAAACGAGATGTTGCCGTCGTAAAGTACTTTCAGTACCAAGATAGATGCCAGCAGTGTTGCCAGGAGAACGACGAGGGCATCGGATGAAAGCGCCTCGGTGAGGTGCATGGGATAAGTATTGTCTCCCCAGGCAGACTCTAGAGCGTGAAGACAGTCGTTCACGCAATCATGGGATGGTAGGTGCACAGACTGGGCACAGCCATCACACTTTCCAGTTACCACACCCCCGGTCAGCGCTCAGCTTCACTGTCTCTTGTAGCTCCTTCCATACATACTCGGATCTGAATCAGACCCATCTCGCTGCGGGGGATTCTTAGAGCCTGGTGCCAACAGGGGCTCCTGTAGGCTGTGACCTGTGCGGCCTTAGCAGTACATACCTGCGAGGGAACTGGCGAGTTTTTCATGAATACAGGTCAGTATTCCCTAGACCCGGATAACATCGGTGGTTATGGAAACATCTCAGGCTAAATCGCGTTTGGGATTGGCGTAGGCAGATTAACTCACGGACAGCCAGTGTTCTTCCGCATTTGCCCTCCATGGCGTCAATCCACAAACTGTTCTGTTCTGCTATCAGTCTTGGGGGCAGGCATCGCATGCCCTCAATCATTCTTCTCTTAATTTCTGTAGCCATCCTGTCGTACCTTTGGCTTCAGCAAGAAACTCAGACACCACGACCCAGAGCCATCTTGCAACCCGGAACACTGGACCAAGCCGTCAACACTACGACTGCGTCGGTTCTCCTGGTTTCGGCGTATTTTCCGCTATCAATAGCCCCCAGATCATCGTCCAAGTACCTTTCGCGCATCAAGCTCTTCTTGGCCTCGGTCACTACGGATGTCTATTTCTATACCACACCGGCATACTCCAGTTTCTTCAGTGAGCTCCGCGGCGACCTGCCATTGACTATAAACGCCTCGTTCAGCTCCCCATTCTCTATCCCCCCGCTTCAGGGCCTGGAATCAACCCTTGAGAACCAGCTGGCACTGGACCGGACGAAGCAAAGGCAGCGACATTCACCCGAACTTTATGCTGTTTTCGCGTCGAAGCCATACTTGCTTGAGCAAGCCGTAATTTCCTCGGGAAAGACATACGACTACGTTTTCTGGGTCGACGCGGGTAGCTTCAACCAACGCAATCATGCGTACGGGCGCTGGCCTGATCCTGCGCGGGTCGAATCGATATTCCGAGATGGTGTCGTGGCGACTGGGAGAAATCTAGAAGAGCTCTTCTTTGTCCCTACAGGCAGACCACCTCATGGGAGCATGAAGTGGTGGAACGATGGCATGGGGACCGTCATCAGCGACTTTACAGAACGTGCGTGGTTGTTGGTATCGCGATCCGGGACAAAGACGACGTTGACCGAAATCATAGCGTCATATTTCGGAGGCAGCCCTCGCGCCATTGCGTGGTGGAGTGCTCTGTTCTACCGTTATCATGCCCATTACCGTTTGCAGGGGGTGTTCGTTGGCCTCGATCAACCTCTCATCAACGCACTCGTCCTCATGCATGCCGACCGTGTCATCACCGTTTGGCACGGCGATCCCTCACCTGAGGGTGGCGACGACTCGCTTACCGATGCAACATGTGGACCTCCCTGGTACTATTACCAGTGGTACTTTGCCTCGGACGAGGACCGTGCTGCCATGTCCCAGATGTGGGATTGGCAAAGGTGGTGGAGATGGCTATGGCCTGCCGAGCGTTGTCGTGCGACCTCGTTAGCAAGCATGCAGAGCCTGCTGAAGAGGTTCTTCGGGAAGGGTTGGACGCCTCCGCGAAGTCGACTCTCGGTCGAGTAGCGGGCGTCGTACCAGGGTGATTGTTTATCGACAATGACTCGCTGCTCGCACTTCCATATGGATGTTCTATTGAATGCTCATAGTGCTTCAGCTCATCAGAACGTTGTGTCACGTCACATATGCTATAGAATCGACTTCGGAGTGAACCCTCGACTACTCTGATCCCCTCATGCCTTCCTTCGGTAACGTGCGGCAGCACCTTGCCGTTGCATAAGTAGTCTTTGGACGAATGTCGTAGAATGTAATCGATGGCTCCGATGGTGCCATCTCCAGCCATTGTACGGTGAGAAGACGGTTCGTTAATTGTTGTTCACACCAAGTCCAAATCCCTGCTCATGGGCTTACAGCGCTGCATGTTGCTGAAGGCTATATAGACATATTGCTTCACATGTGAGCGAATGCCAATATGTGGGCATACCCGTTGTCCCTGCATAACGGCTGTATGCTTCAGGAATAGCAACCTGTCCCGCGGTTGGTCGTCATGATGGTATTTTTACGGAGCAGGCCGAGGACATGAGGAGCAAGAAGTTCATACGCATGGCCATCGTGCATGCCGTGGACCATTTGTATCTTGTTCTCGACCAGTACAATATCAAGCCGCTGCCACGATTTGTGGGAGCTGCAGCCGCCAATCCTCCACGCTGAACGTCGGCTTGGGCACTTTGTCCGCCGGGTTAACTCTATGCTCCTTCTCACTTCGTGCCATCCGCGCTGACCAACCATCCGGCACCGGTTCACCGTCGCTAGGCGATCCGCGCTGCCATATCTCCTCTACCGCGGACTTCAGGTCTTCTTCGAATTGTGATACCTCGCTTTGTAATTCCGAACCGTGTGCTCGATGCTCCTCTGTGAGTTCAAACAGATGCGGGAGAAGACTGCGAGCGTCTCCTGCGAGTTCTTTGTCAATCCCGTTGGTGACCCGCGCATTGCAAGGCTCACCTTGCACAGCCGTGAATCGGGCGACGAGCTTGGAGACGGATGCAAGCAGGTATTCTTCCTCATCGACCGTGCCCTTACGACCGGATCCAATTTTGCGTTCCATCTTCCTCTTCGAACGGGAGCTCAACCTATGTGTGCCCGTTGGATACAACACGTCAACGACATCGGGTCAGATCAGGCTTACTTGGAAGCGCGAGACGCTGTTGTTGGGGCTCTTGTATACCGAGTAAACGCCGTGCCGGGCATAGAAATATCGGTCATCACATCAACGTTGTGGAGACCGGCATCCTCCGTGCCATAAAAGGCATCTACCGGACAATGAGCTCTACTCCGCCTTGACTCACAGCCGGTGTACTCGCCTGGCTCTTCCACCTTTTTGATACGCAGTTCGCGAATGCGATTGAGCTGCTTGCGAAGCTGATCTCTCATCTCATTGATATCTTCCATCACTTGTGCACTGCATTCAAGGACCCCCGGATGTACTATCTCCTCTAGGAGGTCAGGTTCCCGCTTCAGTGTGATCTGTTCAACCGGTAAGCGTCGGCGCTGAAGGGAGGTCGGCAAGCGTACAACTCGTCTCGCTTCTGATATATGGTTCCCGTTCACTAGCGCGATGACTGCTTGCCGAGTGTCCCCGGCATAGTCAAGCAGGACTCGCGCGGCGTCAACGTACTGTTTCTTGGTCAATAGATCATCTATATCAGGTTCGTCAGGTTGTGCTCCAAAAGTAAAAGGGAATTACACTTGCCAGAGACACGGTAAGCCATGTCCTTGATATCTTCTGGAGAGACATGTTCACGGATCACTATGTCGAAGAGTTCTCGCCAAGACAGGGCCCTCTCGTGGGCGACCATCGCCTTGTGCAGTTTCTTGGCTTCCACGAAGGCTATGACAACGAACTTAGCTCGCCAACGGGACACGCAGGAGCCGACGCACCAAGCGCAGCTTCTTTGAACTCCCGGCGATCGAACAGGTGGTCACCGTACTTTTCGAGGACGATCTAAAACATATCATGAAGACGTTGTGAAGCCGAGATAAATGAGACTCACGGGGTATTGATCTGTTCCTTTCCATATGACCAAGGATTCTTGGTGTAATATGTGGTTTTCAGCATATTCCATCGCCTCATCGAAGCGATCGGGTCCTAACGAGCTTGTGAGGCCAAGATACGAGGACACGATATGAGATCGAACTGTACCCGCCAAACTGAGGTTTCGCAGAGCACTGGCGTGTCGTCGGAGGTGGTCGTCGATGCGGAATCGTTGATAATACTTGTCCATCGCTCGCAATTCTCGCAGGAAGGGTAAGTATTCTCGTGGGTCCTATGTTCGGACGATGTTAGAGAGTGGAGAAGGGAAGACGACACGGTTTGCACCTTCTGCGAATGTTGCGCAATCATCAGAACGAGTGAAAAGTCATACATCCCGAGGGCAGTATCAAACAATTTATCAGCATCCACAAGGAAAATCACATATTTGACAGCCTCCTCTACGAGATCAGAGTGGCTTTCTGGACGTTGATCAAGCAACCAGTTCAGCGTGAGCGGGTTGGGGGTCTAACGCATACGAACCTCGTATAGACAAAAGGAGGCGTAATGCAGCCTCGTGGTCCGAGGGAGCTTTCACGACGTACGCCGTCAGGATTGAGTTGATGAACCTCAGTCTGTCTTTCCTCTCCAGTTCCCCGCGGACTGCATCGCAGACTGCGCTCGCTTGCTCCGAGGGCTCAACAGTGCGTCTACAATGTTGCAGACTGTCAATTGGGCGAACATGAGTCCATGCCATGACACCATACCCTACTGTGGTTAGGAAAAGATTGAAATGATCGACGTCATCAATCTGGTCCACAAAGGAGGCAAGACGTTTCATGAAGCCAGCTTGATCGTGTTTGAACAAGATGCTGAGGTCCACCCTATGCTTTCTGCAAGTCAAGAAGGCTTTTCGGTAATTTCCACTGTGCAACAATGAAGGTCAATCAGGTATATACTCTGGGGAATCACGGCAATTACACACGCATCGATGTCTTGCCTGACGACCTCAATGACGAGCGGTCGCGGAGATATTGTTTCCAGATTACCTCGAGGCATCTGAAGGACAAGACTCATTGTACTCGGGACTACGGTGACAATTCTTGAGCCTCGTTCAACGCGCCGTCGTTCCCACGAGGCATCGGCTTCGTGATCTTGCGCATTCAATCGGTTCGTAACGTCCTTTATGGGCGCGAACTGTGCCTCATGGGCAGACGTGGTAAAGATCACAAATGAGGGGGTGACGCGAAACGAATTAACGTTGCTGGCGAGGCTGATGGATTTGTCGCCTTCACCGGCGGCGTACAATTTGCCAGAATGTGCCAAACCGATGAATACCGGTCCCGAGGTAGAGTTCACGTGGCCCACCGTGAAGCAAAACTCGGGGAACCTTGTTAGAGAACGCAGAGATCCGGGTTCCCCTTCGACTGCGCCGATAATGAAAACCAAAGATCCATTCGAAGACGGAAGGACTCACCGGCATACAGTTCCCCTTCCGGATGCTGCCACACGATACGCGGCGAAGTCTGGACCAATCGACCATTGATATGGATCATTCTAATAATGGCTTGATTTGACGGCGTGGCTGAATCGAACACAACGATCACATCCGACTGCGGTTCCGTCATAGTTGTGCCTAACGCAACGATCTTGGCAACATCGGGACCAGGGAGCTGCAAGACCAGCTGCCTCCAATTGGCATCAAGGTCGATTGACCCGGTATGCAGTAGGGACGGCTCCATGACTTTTTGTCGCCCAGGACCGATCCTTGTGTGAAGATCCCAGATGCTGACAGACCCGTCTTCCCAAAGAGTGCCGAACACGTCGTGGCTAAGAGCAAAGGCGGAATGTGCTGGAGCTCGACAATTTGGGGGAAGTTCGAGGCGATACGCGCACATAGGAGGTGGCACGTTTTGCGAACGGAAAGGAGTCAATAGCATCGATTCTGAAAGGAGGATGTCATTAGATGTGATCCGTATGTCTTTCACGGTGCCGACTTACTTCCGTCGGCAACAGCTACGGAGCCGGTGTCTATAGGAGGGCTGCTAGAAGAGGCGGCGGTTTCCCAGGCATATACTCGCTGAACCACTCCTGCTGTGCCCTATCAGGCTAGTGACCTCTGAGAGGAACTGCTTCACGTACATGGGCCACTGAGAACGAGCTTGAGGGCAGATTCCGGATGCCAAACCATGGACGTGAACCGGGCAGGTTTGTTGCTCGTGCAATCCGTGTCGCAGGCGGATGTTGGTGATATCTCTTGCTTGAGATACCTGGGGATCCTCAGTTTCAGTGTTCTGCAGCAAGAAAGGTGTACCTCACCAATGGTAGTTGGAAGTCGTCCATAGTTGCACTGAGCATGGCATGGGTATTCTCGTCGATCACCGAACTTGAGGAAAGGAACATACCAATGTCTGATCCGGAGTCGTCACCCTCGATCCATACCGCAAGAACTGTCGAATCCGTGTTCCACGCAAGCTCACGAACCCGATATCCCCACGGCTTCCAAGCCGCGCCGTCCAGTCTCCTATAGGCTTCCCTAAGTCCAAACTCTCCGTGACGCAGGCCATTCCTTTCGAAGAAAACGACATCGTGACGCCCCTCCCTGCCCCGACCGCCACCATCGAAACCAAATCTCTGAGTTGTCGCGATAAGGCTCCCCGAGGGCCTCCACGAAAGAGCGTGTTCTAGCCCTGCGACGGGTTCTGCCGTGGACTGCAATATGCACTCGCGATCATATACGCGGAGCATCCGACGCGGTCGTCCGCCATCCGTAATGGAAGACACAACAAAGAAAGCGCCATCGCCGCGCCAGCTGATCCGTGGTAGGAGATCATCATCCGGGCTAAGACCGGCCTCTTCTTGAGCGACTGGGGCCCGCGCTGCCGCTTTGCCGAGTGAACCGTGAAATTGTGTTTGTTTAGAACCCCAGCCGACATTGATGGGTGCGTCTGGATGGAGTATATGCATACACGATCAGAATTTCGACGACCCGTCTCGCGAAGGTTCAACGCACCAGCGCCAAATCCCGCGGGATTAAGCGGGTTCTCGGACAGCACTTCATAAGTGGCTGTCATGAGCACAAGTTTATCGCCTGCAAGATCGGCGTTCATAATGATCACTTGTCAACTAGACGCAGTTCATTGCATGTCACCTGAGATTAGCACTAGCACGGTTTCATCCGGGCTCCAGCCTACGGCTTGGATTCCCTCATCGAAAGATCCCAGTACTTCCACCTGGTTTCAGGTCATGTATCATGGTCATAATCTTGAGGTATGGAAGCCATACCTCAGATAAATTGTCCTCCAAGGACATTGTGGCAATCTCACCGCCGCGCGTGATCATGGCCAGGGTTCTATGTTCGGAAACGACCTTCAGGGACACCAACTGGGACGACAAGCCCGGAGCTTCGTTCGAAAATCGCGGCGTCGTGAACATGCTCACAATCTCCGGCGGGTTGACGGACTGTGGCATCTTCTAGCGTGCAGATCTGCGCATGACGCGGAGGAACATACATTAACGTCGCCAGGGATCCTGTAAAGCTCTAACTCCACGTCGCCGTCGGCATTAACCCGTTCGGACGCCGCATAGAGCGTGTCATTGTCGACGTCGAACGCGAGCGACGTAATGTTCGTGTCTCGGATACGTGATTCGGATATCCTCTCGAGGGTCAGATTGCGCATCGCTTCTTCTGTTACGTTCCAAATGTATCGCCCGGAGTGATGCTGAGACTGTCCGAGATCTGATTAACACAGCTGGTGGATGACGGCTCGTTTGGCCATATGCAGTATCGTCGTCAAAAAGAGAGGACCGAGTGTGGCTGTGCATGGCATGGACGCGGTGACACCGCCACAGCCGCCTTGCCCCTGGCCCACCTGCTCCCCGTCATGCTGTTGCCGTGTGCTGGTGAACCTGGATCTGATTCCTGCGGTTATCGTACGCCGGAACACGAGTCATCCGCACGGCAAGTTATTTTGATCGTTCGGTAGCCATGGCTCCACAAGACGGCGACATCGTCCCAATTGTCGCCAGTTCGCCGCCGCTCGGTGCGTTCGCAAAGAAACGTCGGCGGGCCCATGGCCACCGCACGACAAAGACTTGCGCGCCTTCTTAAATGAAGAAGCGGAAGCATCTGGCTTTACACCTGTCGATCAGGGCCTGTCTGTTCCGGAGGCAGTGCTCCAGCTATGTTGGCGCGAGCGGCCGGTCGCGGTTACGCTTCCCAGACCGAACCCGTCCCTTTTGTTCCGTGGATAGCCAACGCTTGTGCTCCACCGCGGCACTCTATCGCCCATACGTCCGCCCATGCCTGCCGAAATCCGTTGCGGCCTACGATTTAGACCAAATCCGTCCACGTCTTACACATACCCTCCGGACATCGCTCGCGAAGCTGTACTTGATGACATCGCCTCCATCTCTGGCTCAGGCTGTGACCCCAGATTTCATCGAAATGGAAACTATAGTCCGCCGCCGCGGAGGCTACCCGATGTCGGCTCAGTTCAGAAACAGGTCGCTGCGCAATTGTTGCCCCCCGAGCACAAGCCTTCCGACTCATTCTCCGGGTGACTACAATCGTAAATTTATCCGAGTCGTTGCATACTCACGCTTTCCGGTAGCATACTGACACGGATGGCCCTGACGAGCGGTGCCGGCTGTCATGTCACAAGCCTGGCAGACAACGTTCAAAAGGACAACCGACCGACCACAGTACGATCCCCAGACCCACCACGCATCTGGTCTTTCCGCCCTCGACTACCATGGGTAACTCACACTCTACGTCCTCTTCATCCTCTACCACCACTCTTGCGTCCACGCATGCGCCGCCTCCACCCCCTCGCCCCACGAAGCGGGGCTGCTACCCTCTAGGGTGTTTCGCCGCCTCTCATTCTACCGAATCGCTCAGTCATCCTCACCAATATGGGGAGAAGACCCTCACTCCTAGTACGTCCCGCGAGGGTTCCACCAAGTCCAGCGGGACGTACAATTGGCACCCGCCAATGTACGCTGGCACCGCCGCCATGCACACCGACAAGTTGGCGTCGTCATCGTCGCCCAAGGCGGCCGCGTACGACGCGTTCCTGAAAGAATTCCCGGAGTTCCGGCTGACTTGGACATTGGATGCCCTTCGTCAAGCGGAATTTTCTCGCTTGGACCGAACCGGCGAAGTCTACGGTACACAATCTCCCCTCTGGTGCCTGATTTGTCCTCAATATACTGCCTTCCCGTTCTAGTCGACTACATGGGTGGTAGCCTATATCCAGAGAGCCTAGTCAGGGCTCAGGCATCGTTCCTGCATAATCACGTCCTCGGCAATACACACTCGGTCAACAACAGGTAAGCACTCGGACTTGCTATGTGGATGGTTTTCACACCATCGCAAACTTCAATTGTTTCCGAGCCGTCTCCGCTTTCTGCAACCGTGTGGCGGCAGCGCCACTGGAGTCTCTATCCCACAATCTCACTGTTCCCTGTTTGTGATCCCGGTCATGAATCTGATTTCCGGCTTTCAGTTCCGCATTATCCTCCGCGCACGCGACCGAGGCACGAATGGCTGTGTTATCGTTCTTCCGGGCATTGCCCGAAGAGTATACGGTAGTCTTCACCGCAAACGCCTCCGCTGCTCTGAAACTCGTCGGAGAAGCATATCCCTTCACGGAAGAAAATTGTTTCGTACTCGGAGAGGATTCCCACAACAGTGTCCACGGCATCCGACAGTTTGCGGCGCGAGCTGGCTCACGCGTACGATACGTTGAAACAGCGCCCGAAGGAGGCGTGATTGCGGCCGCCGCCCAGGTAAAGTCTTGTCTATGCAATCGTCAGTAGCAAAGCTAATTCCGGCGCAGGAGGTGCTATCCACCAATGCTATCATCTCAAGGCCAGGCCTGTTCGCGTTGACGGGCCAATCTAACATCTCAAACGCAAAGAACTCGCTGTCATTGCTAAAGCACGCTTCTTCGCTTGGATATCATACTCTCCTTGACGCAGCAGCCCTCGCTCCTATTTCGACTATCTCCCTCGCCTCTACCCCCGTAGATGCAATGGCCATCAGCTTCTACAAAATGTTCGGCTTCCCGACGGGTGTGGGAGCTTTGGTGGTCAAAAAGTCCTTCTTGCAGAGCCTGAAACGACCCTGGTTTGCTGGTGGTACAGTTGACGTTGTGAGTCTTGATGGCGCGCATCCGCGAGTCACGTAAAGTGAACCCTTTTCTCGTAGGTCCAAGTACCCGGCACGGTCGTTACAATGGCACATGACGTCCACGAACAATTCGAGGTTTGCTCCGCGTCATTGTGAGATTCATCTCATTTGCTAACGTTCGATCCCTCAGGACGGGACAATCAACTACCTTAGCCTGCCTACCATCACGGACGGCCTTCGTTTCCTATCCGCATACCTACCATTCCTTCCACTGCGCCTCACATGCTTCGTCCAATATCTTATCGAATCGTTATCGGCGCTCAAACACCAGGGCACCGGAACGCCCGTCGTGAAGGTTCTGTCACGAAGGCCAGGCAGGCGCCTCCAAGGCGTTGGTGACCAGACCGATTGCGGTGCTGTGGTATCGCTTCTATTCCTTGACGTGAGTAGCTTATTCCCAGCGTGGATCCCAGTTCTGGGCGCTCATGATTCACCTGCTTCCCTCCAGCCGAACGGGGATATGATTCCCAATTCATTCATCGAACACGCGGCTACATCGAAGCGCATCTCCCTCCGGACTGGGTGCATGTGCAATCCCGGAGGTGCCGCTGCGCTTTTGGGACTGAAGGATCACATGGCCCGCCTTTCGGAGGTACCAAACGCGACTCTGGACGAGTTCGAGTGTTTGGTCGGACACGAACTGGGTGTCGTGCGGATCAGCCTTGGATTGGCGACGAATTTCGAAGACGTCTGGCGCGTCATCGAGTTTGCATCCGTGCTCGCGGACCAGGACTCTCGGGATCAGCTTTGGGCGCGATATACGGAAGACACGGAACGGATGCGGTCACTCACGCTGCATTCACACTAGACTGCCATCGCTATCTGCTGTGTTGTATCACAATCGAACGCTGTCAATGTATTTGCTATCAATGTATTGGACATTATGTAAACATTATTGGCGTAGACTATCTAGTTAATCGAACACTTTGTGAAAGCTCTGCCCGGTCACGATAGATCGAAGAATTGCTCGTCAAATCCGCTCTGGCTGACTTGGCCCTTCTTCACCTTCTTTGCCATTCTCTCTTCTCTGGCAAGATCCTCCCAATTGTCGTCATCTCCGCCATGTCCTTCACGTGGGTCTTTCGGTTGCTCCGCCGTGGTTTGCTGCGCCTTCAACCACTTCCTTTTCCGCTCCTTCTGCACCTTGCGTCTTTCCTTTTCATCCTTCTTGGCTACCTGTTTGCTCCAAGCCTGCTCCACTTTCTTGCGCTTCTGTTTCCGGCCAGTCTCCACTGGTGTAGTCCGTTTACGCTCGTTGACTGTAGAAAGACGCTTGGCCTCTTGTGCGGAGTCGACGTATGCATACACATCCCACTGCGAGGTACTCTATTTAGCCGTCATAGATGCACAGAGGCTACCTGAACGTACGTCAACATCCGCATTCGTCCAATCTTCCAAACACTGGTCCTTCAACTCCGGCATTTTCGGTAGCCTTAATAACCCAAAAGATTTTGCGACGCCTGTGAGGTCAAGGTCCTTAATGCGGAATATGTATGACGCGTCATGTTTGGAGTATGCTCTGACGAAAGAGACATATGCCTTGACACCCTGAAGCATTGTTTGAATAGGATGAAGACAACTGTGTCCGAACGCAAACGTACTTTATCGTATAGTCCTCTATCCGTTGCCACCTTGCGCCTGATTTTTTCAGTGGCAGCCACCACAGCATCGTCTTCAGGCCGTACATCGTCTTCCGGGGTCGGAAAAGGTTGAGCGTCGTCGGCAAAGTAGGAATGTCGCTTGAGCGGTATCTTCCGCACCGCGAGGAAATCTAGTTGGTACAATTTGAGGAATGCTACCGCGCATTATCAACAAATAACTCACCAACGTAGTCCTCCTCCCGACCACATAGCAGAGCCCACGCGCGACCACTGCGTCCCGCCCGCGCGGTGCGCCCGCAACGATGAGAGAACGTTTTGCTATCTGCCGGGGGGTCGTATTGTATGACAACGTCGACGTCGGGTATGTCCAGGCCGCGAGCAGCTACGTCTGTTGCCAGCAATACTGCGGGGTTCTGAGGAGACGTCGCATGGGTGGTGAAAGATGACAGCGTCTTTGTACGAGTGGCAGGTGGGAGATGGCCATGGAGAGAATACAGGGCCATGCTAGGAGGTATTAACGTTGGTAGTACCTATACAACTGATCGTTGAATGATAACTCGTCACAGTCGACTCGAACTTACGCGATAAAAGTAATCGACGCAGGCGCATGTGGCGAAGTAGATAATGAACCGCGATGATGAATGTTGCTCGATTTCATGTTTGAGAATTCTGCACAGTTGTATGGTCTTCTCTGAGGCTCTACATGTGATATAGAAGTTTTGAAGGCTTGAGAGCAAAACTGTAAACGGGCAATTCGATGGCGAGAAGAACTAATGCGCTCACTTGGCAGGCGTCCGCCGTTCCTCTATTATTTCGGTCTTGCCGAGGAGTTTTCCTGCGTCGACATTCTTGATCCTCTTGGATTGTACCTTGACGACGACCCGTGCGGGGTTGCGCAGACCCACCCGCACGAGCTCCGACATGGCATTGGCATCCGTCATCGTTGCACTGAACAGGCCTGTACGCCGTTGCTTGGGAAGATGCGTAATAATGCGTGTGAGGCTCGCCTGAAAGCCCAAGTCCAGCAATCTGCGAGATATAGTCTAGGCTCGTGCCAAGGTATGAATGACGCGTTCAGGAGCTTACCGATCAGCCTCGTCGAGGACAAGTACTTCAAGCTCCTTAACGTTCACTACCGCCCGCCCCTTGCCAAGAAGAAATTCTTCGATTCTACCAGGAGTCCCGATGACGATGTCCGCTCCCGTCTCAATAAATCGTTGGATGTCCTGAGCATGCGATGACTCGTTGGATGATATCAATAGCAGGGGAGGAGGGAATGCATGTCGAGGCTTCAGATACAAATCCGGCGAGTTTTCAGGATCTGACACTGGTTCGGATGGTTGGGACGACAAGAACAGCGAGAAAACAGAGTGGATCTGGGATGCAAGCTCTCTGCAGATGAGAATCGGCACGTACAGCAGGTGGATAGAACTCACCTCGTCGGACTAATGATCAGCGCGCCCACTTCGTTCTTGCGGAGCCTTGTTTCTCGCCGTATGAGCCGCTCCAGGACTGGAATCGCGAATGCAAGCGTTTTTCCTGAACCGGTCACGGCCTCGACGACGACGTCCTTATTTTTCATAAAAAGTGGTATAGTGGACGATTGAACCGGGGTCATTTGCTCGAAGCCCATGGACTGAATCACATCATATCTGCATTGGAAGTCTGTGAGTGTACACGGCTTTTGATTGTAGTGAACACGGACACCCAGTCCGTCAAAGGAGTCGGTAGCGAAGCCCACGACCCGGCGATAGCACTGGCCGGCATAGTTTAGAGGAGGCTTGTTGGCGGTACCGAAGTCATCCTGAACGCTACAGTCAATTCTTGGTCTCCCACGCCACTTTGCACTCGTTTGCATTTCTCTCGATTTTGACTGGCTGAAAACTACACACTGGGTAAGTCTGGATTTCTCTCCCTCAAATTTGAAGAAACGTCCCGTAATTTCTTGAAATCTATAGAGCATATTTGGAAGTGACAAATCATTGATGAAATGGTGCTTTTCTTCGATTTACTTACAGCGTTATGTGATTTTCTGCGTTTAGTGTTTTTTGATCTAAAGATGATTTGGTAAATTTCCAATGTTTGCATAGATTCTAAGATGCAACAAACGTAGATTCGCGCCCTGTGTTAACTAGATCTTTTACGTAATAAGAGGGTAAGCACAATAACTCATCAATGTCTATATCTAATCGGTCCCCAACGCAGGCATCGTCAAGCGAGGTACCGCGCAGACAAGCCCTTCCAGTATGTATCTCTGAAAAATAGACTTGCTGATGGAGCACCGTCAAGTTTCGCAGGATACATGTGTAAATGGCTGTATTCGGGATCTCAGTCTCAGTCTACCGTGGTGGGGCGCCCAGAGGCTTGTCTACATACATCTAATCCTCAGTTTTTACGGACATCCGTGCTCTTGCTCCGTCCGCGTCCTGAATTTCGATCTCGACATTCTGCACGTCGTCACCTACACGATCCCCCTCCGCGTCATCTGGGTTCTCCGTAGTCTGACTCAAGTCGAGCGACATGACTTCGACAAACCATTTGGCCCCTTCTTCCCAGCCAGTGTTCTCCGCTTCGCCTAATGGTGTGCGGCCAGCGTTGTTCTTAACGTCGATAAGAGAAGCGCCCAGGGCAATTCCCTTGGCTTCAGCGATGCCCTCCGGTTTGAATTCGACAAGCTTTTTCGCAACGGCGAGATGGGCATTCAAAGCTGCCCAATGAAGCGGCGTAGAGCCAGAGGAATTCTTGGCCGATAACAAGGCCGCAGGTATCAATGGAAGTAGATAATCGAGGACATCTAGTCAAGAGACTGATGTAAATGTCAGTTCACTCGCAGGAAACGAAAATTCATAACAAAAGACCGGTTACAGAGAGCGATGCGGTGTCTCTGTGGAGTAAGGAACTGACTGTGACCATACCTGCATGTCCATTCCCGGATACCATGTGCAACACGGTGTTTTCGTTCCCATCCCGTGTTTCCGCAAGAGGACCCGCACCGAAAGTGTCTACAAATCGCTGCACATCCTCGAGATCCCCGTAACGACAAGAAAATAGGAGATCGTCTCGCTCCTCCTCCGAGGGTAATTGCACCATTTCTTGCTGAGACTGTAGAACTCGAGATGGATGATTGTATGCTGCGATGGAAGCGCGGAAGAGAGCAAAGTCGTCGAGCGCAACCCGGGGTACAGCCACATGAAGACCTCTTCGGCAGTTGCCGTCCCCTCGCGCGCCGCTTGAAATGGAGTTGCAGCCAAGTTGCAGCGATACTCAATTCCGTGTTAATCATGGACACGACACGGAGGGAAGTACAAAGACAATGAACGACCACGTCGCTTGTTCTACCATCACGATGTGCCTGGGAATTCACTTTGGACTATCGGCCATAGTGCGGGATCCACAAAGCCGTAGTTAGACTACGCAAAATAACCAGCTTGTTGCGATCGTACAGGAGAATACAAGGTGATAAGCATTAGAACGAGAGCATCGTGACAGTATATGTAGCATATTCAGCATGATTACCGAGGGCCTTTCGGATACCGCGGGCTGGTCGGAGCTGGGCCATACGCCAAATCTAAATGGTGTACGTGGGATTAGCATTTTGATCGTCGCACTCTGTATTTATAATATCACGAACCTATTGGTGATGTGAACCCGTGAATCAGAGGATTGACGGTAGTCGTTCGCTGAGTGTGCAAAGCGAGATTGCGTTCGGTTAGATTGACGTTACCCAGCTCGACTCCACCTCCCTCTTCGTCAGTCAATCGTCGATTAGGCTTGTACAGCGGAACCGCCGAAACTTTCGTGGGCTGGGGCGGGTAGGGAGTGCGACCGTCGTACGGTAAATCGCCATAAGGAGAATACACCACGGAGGAGCCAATCTCGTTCACGTCGTACTTCTTGTCGGCATCCTGGTACTCGCTTGGCAGGCTCGACAAGTGCTTGACAGGTGAGCCAGAGAGGAGATATGTGCCCGCCTGTGACTGCGAGCGGAAAGAGCGTGTTCGTCCCAGGTTGGAGCGAAGAGCCTTTTCTTCACGGGATACATCCTTCGCTTGGATCTCTCCCTCAATCGACCGAGGAAAGAAAATGACCAGCGTCAGCCCAGATGAGATGATACATCCCATCGCAGCGATGATAGCAAGCAAGTCAGTCCAAAAACTGGGCAATTTGAAATGAATATAGGTCCATTATTACTAGTCATGCCACTCACGCGCTCTCATTGACATGCTGATGGTTCCGAACTCCGTCGATCCCCAACACGATGAAAGGAGCGGTGAACATGAAACGGAATAGAACGCGGATGGACTGAGGGCCGTGTCAGGTTGATGAACACGCTGAAAACGCAAGCCTGTTGCTTACGTTCATTTCCGAGAACTTGGTCAAGCGAACGACAGTGCCCATGTCCACACCTTCGGCTTTCTGTTCCTCAAGTCAGCCCCGCGTTTTCGTCGGCCACTTCACTGAATAGACGTACGAGATTCGCGAGGAAGGACGGAAATGTCCACAGTACGGGCAAGAACCACAACGTCAGCGAGAAGCTGCCCAAGCTCCCAGCCAAGAACGTGAACGCCTCGTTCTGCCCCATCGAAGGCAAATCAGTTGGGCGAAGAAAATGTGACACACATAGCGCACCTTCAGAGGGTCGGAACGTGTAAAGATCGTCACGAGCGGCATGTACACGATGGCGATGCATGCCCCGAGCAACCACGTTCTGAAATACCAGCTCTTGAACCAATCCTGGGAAGCTGACCCCGCATTGACGAGGAATAACCAGAAGCACAGTTCTGAGATGACAAGCATGAACACGGGTATGCGAGAAATTGTGTGCGTACTCACCCTCAAGGTGCGTCACCATCTCCAAACCCCATGCGATCGAGAACAACAGACTTAGTGGGAATATCGCCCTGCGATTTGTCTCCGACCACAGTTGGTACGGGGTGGGAATAACTAGGAGGAAATGTCAAAAACGCTTCAATCGTGAAGGAACGCAACGCACTTCCGTGCCCGGGAACGAATGTGTAACCCTCCTGGTACTTGATGATCGAGAAGCCAATCGAGTACGATATAATAAGCGGTACACTTAGTAGATACGAGTACTGCAAAAGATGTAAGATATGGGCATCGCTGAAATTGGATGATACTTACGGTCATGACGCGCTTGAAGGCACCAGAAGTAGGTCCGGTGTTCCATCTGAGTAAAGACCGGTGTCAGCGTACACTATCAGTCGTTGCTACCCGAAACGGCGCACTTCAAGCATTTGAAGCGGTCGAAAGACCAAAGGTGGAAGACAAGAAAGATGCCCAACTGCGAATCACATCAGGCTGGGATCGACGCTGTCATGGTGGCGGCTGAACGTACCAGGGATGACAAAATGGCCCAAACAAGGTATGTGGCGGGTGAAGTGTGGGACATGGCGCAGAAAAGAAAGTTGGCGTCGACGGCACCGTCAGAGGCGAATGAACGAGCGGGGCGAGCGGTCCTCTTTAGATACTGCGAGCGAGAGGGTGGACGAAAAGAAGGGGCAGTCAGGCTAAGACGACCACCGGATGCACATGATGATCCAAACTCCAGTGATTGATGGGAACTCACCGAAGCTGCCGATCTAAGTGCTGGTCGTCAGCATATACCTGCAACAACGATGGTAGGCGCCAGCTCACATATAGGTGCGATGGAAAGCCGTTGGCACCTCAAGGCACTTGAAACTGCCTCTCGAAATAGGGCCGCCCTAGAGGCTTCAATCAGACCATTATGAATGGAGGATGTGTTTTGTGTCCAGTGGCTGAATGGAAATCAGCACAGGCACAGCCGCGGTCCGCGTGGTCACTCCACGTTGTATTGGCCACGCACTCTGGTTCCGTCTCTAGCAGCGTTTCTCATATACCGCATTGGCTGCGCCCGGGGTTACGATAGCAATGAAACCGCCGGAGACTACAATTCGAACTTCCCGGCAATTCGAGGAGCTTATACGACCCCATCGGTACCCTTTCTCCTGCCTCATCTAAACTCCCGGGTAACCCTACGGCCACAAGCTACCTGTATTATACAGTCTTCCGCAGCTTGAAGGCCTGTGAGTGTCGTTAACGTCATTGATCCCAGGGCACGACATCGTGACAGATCGACGGCATACGGTCCCGTTTGTGAGAGATGTACTCACACGCATCCAACGAACTCCGTAATGCGTAAATGATGTCTTACAAATCTGACGTGTTCGCATGACTTGCAAACGAACGTACTGCAGTTACTGGTTCAGGGTATGTAGCGCTGTACTGCATTCGCAATACATAACTCAGGGCCTGTTCGGTAGCAGGTGCAATCAGCGCTGAACGGCGTTCAGCGCTGAAAAGCTGATAATCGCGCTCCGGTGACCGCCACCGTATAGATAAAATTGATCATTTTCCCGGTCGAGCGATACTCGCGCTGGATGTATACCACCGAAGACGTCTCATCTCCTTCATACCGCGCCGGCGCTGGTTCAATCGATCGCGCCATGATGAACACTTCAAGCTTCAAGTCGCGAGTAAGTCCGATATGCTCTTGCAATGAAATGATCCGGGTATATGAGTGGGGACAGATTCCAATGGCTGCTTCGAATCGCGGGATTGGGATACGGTGAGTCTGACGATATATATATATATTAGCAGTACATGAGACACCTCTAAACAAGGCGTTCCTCCCTGCTCGGCAGGACTGATAGCCAGTAAGTATGTAGTGAGTTTCCTGTCCCTTGGAGGCAATAAGGCGTGATGTAGGCGACATGGCGGAGGACCGGTACGGTAGAGAACGCAGACAAGCACCTGACGTCATAAACCAACGCGCTCTTTCGGGCCGGCGGGCCGGCAGATGGCTATTCCCTCACCAGTATAAGAACGCAATCCATAAGTACATCCAAGGATCCGCCGATCTTTCTTCATCGCACCTTCATCTACAGCTGAAAACTCCACGCCGCCATCATGTCCTTTGGAAGGGTCCTCTCTCTGTCTTCTGGCAACACCATTCCTCAGATCGGGCTTGGTACATGGCTCTCACAGCCCAACGAAGTTGAGAACGCCGTACGTATTGACCGAACGGTATTGGCGTAGCGGAGAAAGAAATGTTCTGATCGGCATGTTTGTCCAGGTGGAGATCGCTGTGAAGCATGGATACCGCCACCTCGATCTCGCGCAGGTGTACCAAAACCAGGACGAGGCGAGTTTACGGCACTTAAATCTAGTAAGAACATGCATTGACGCTTGTGGGCATACCAGGTCGGTCGTGCGTTGAAGAAAGTCATCCCAAGCGTCGTCAAGCGTGAGGAGCTTTTCATCACGTCCAAGCTTTGGAACTCGTCGCATCAGCCCGGCGAGGCTGAGAAGGAGCTTGACTTTACCCTTGGGCAGCTCGGCCTCGACTACCTTGATCTCTACTGTTAGGCCATACACACCTTCTTCGAGCGTACATCGACTGATGTCACTTACAGTGATCCACTGGCCGGTCGCTTTCAAGCCCGGTCAGGGCCTTTTCCCGCCCAGCGAAAAGGAGGGATGGGTCGCGCTTGATCTCGAGCCCTCGCTCGTTGACACCTGGAAGGCGATGATTGCTTTGCAGAAGACCGGCAAGGTAACCTATCTCCCTCTATATCCTGACTAATTGGAGGCTGATCTTACGTCTACAGGTCAAGCATATTGGTGTGTCCAATTTCACGAAGGAGCATATTCAGGGCATCATCGATGCTACTGGAGTTGTCCCCGCCGCGAACCAGATCGAGGCGCACCCGTACCTGCCGCAGGACGAGCTGCTCGCGTACTGCAAGGAGAAGGGCATTCACGTCACTGCCTACTCGCCTCTGGGCAACAACCTCGTCGGCAGGCCGAAGTTGACCGAACTGCCCGCGATCCAGGAGATTGCCAAGGAGCTGAGCGCGACTCCCGCGCAGGTGCTCGTCGCGTGGGGCGTGTACCGCGGATACTCGGTTATTCCCAAGTCCGTGCAGGAGGAGCGCATCGTGTCCAACTTCAGGCAAGTCGAGCTCAGCAAGGACGCATACGAGAAGGTTTCGGCGGTGGGCAAGGGCAATCACACTCGGTGAGTTCCGCTGCCTGCTCCCCGCTACGACCGGGCCGCTGATAAGGTTCGTGATTAGGTTCAACATCCCGTACAACTACAAGCCTGGGTGGGATATCAACATCTTCGGTGAGCCCGACGAGGCCCCCGCGACGAACAAGGTGAAGATTGCGTGAATATGTAGTGAAAATGAATGTAGAGGATGATTTATGTATGTGTAACACTATCGCGCGATCGTTCCTGGCGGCAACGAATAGTGACTATCGGTGCCGACGGGTGAGCCGCCAACTGAGCCCGGGAATCAGACAGGGGTGGGACGCCGACGGATTGTCAGGGGCAGGGTGGATTGATATGAGCGCTCTCGTCGTCCGCCACATCGTGCCAGTGTTCTCTGCGCGCCATCCGCTTCGTCTTTACGTGCTGCGCATGCTGCTCGATGACAGTAACCGACGGGAGCACATCAGCCTACCTCCTGTGGGCCATCCTTGCATGCCTCGTGAGTCGCCCCTGTCTGTCGCGGAAGCGAGTGCATACGCTGCCACCGCCTTCTTCTCTCACCCCCGCGTGCTGTGGCCCAACACTGAGCACCTCGTCTGCGAAAATAGTTCCAAGGTTTCCTCCTCTACCATCTCTGGAGCTACGATGGCTTCAAGTGTCTTCGATGGGATGCCGGAAGGCAGCCGGGCGCGTTCAGGAGGGTAATGACGGTGAGCACTCTTCTGATGCTATGGCGCCGATCTCACTAACCGCGACTTGGGGGCAGTACTCCTACTTAGCGTGTATCCCGCTCCTCGTGATATTCTCGGTGGGATTAACGGTGGTCAAGTTCCATGCAGGTGAGCATCTTTGTTTCGTGTGATGGTGTTCTGCAGGTGGGGGAGGCGGATCGAAGGAAGTTGACGGCGGTGAGACCTCGGGGCCCGTCGCACTCGCGTGTGGGGTGGCGTTCATCCTCTACCACTCTCCGCGTAATCGCCAATACGGAATGCCTGGATTACACATTCTCCCGCAGGCGAAGTCGTCTATCCCGATGGCTCGAGTACGCCGCTTGCCCTGCTGGACCATTACACGATACTCACGCCCTTTCGTCAGTCATGCCAAAACCAGTCATGCTTTGGGACGATCACGACAGGGCATGGGTCCTCCCTTTGTACTTCATCCTGAGCATTGCTTGGGCGCTAGAAATGTGAGAGCTCAACTATGATTCCTGGCAGCTTCGTTTGCTCATACGACGGTGCAGTATCACACATCTCGAGGGTTGGTCTGCAACAAGCTGTATATCCTGCCAATACTCATATCCACTCCTTCAGAGCTCGTTTTCTGGCTTTTCCTCCTTCATCAAGGCCCCACCCAACGCGATTGGTACGAAAGTTGGGAGTTCCGAACGTGGTACATAGGTGAGTCTGAACCATATTGCATCGGCCGGCACGCGCCAACATGAAGTTTCCAGGGAGCACCATCGCCATCCTCGGCATGCCAATCACCGTACTCATTACAAGGCGCCAGCTTTGGAATGTGAGTCATAGTTAAGCAACCGCCTCCACCGGACAGTTCGCTGATTGTTGCAGTGTCTTGCATATATATTCCTCACAGGCTCCTCCGCCGGGATTCTCACCACCATCGCCTTCCTCTACGTGCTGTGGCAATTTCCGGTTTTCCTCGCGCATGTCAAGTCGGAAGGTGCCGATCCGGATGTGGTCGTCCGCCTCACGACGTTTTCTCAGCTCAACGTGAGTCCCAACCTAGGTCGTTCGGAACTTGCCGAAGGACGATATTACTCCCAAACCCTATATTCGTGATTTGATGATATTTTGACGCGGCCCCCGTCCGACATGATAGGTGATTCGGGTTCTGTTCCGATTTCTGTTTTCCGTCCCGCTTTTGGTTCTCGGCATCGACGTGATCTCGGGAAGGTTCTGTGTAGTTGACCACAAGTACGTCGATCTATTGTGCCCGACAGATTTTGGTTGATGGTGTGCCCTCCCCGACATCGATCAGATTCGCTACGGACTTCTGTCTGGAGGTGGCCGCTGTTGGGTGCTTCGCTTCCTCCACTATCACTCTTCTCGTACGTATCGCTGCTGCATCTTTTCCCTGATCTATTCGAGATTTAGAATTCGCTTATGGTAGATATTCTTCCCGCGTTCCATTACCCGCGAATCTGGGTACAAACCTAAGGAACCAAGTCCGCTTCGCACGCCGACTACCACCGCGCAGCCTTTTGCGCCATATCCCTATGCCCATCAGCAGCCCAATCTTCCAACATTTGACTATGTTGCTCCTGACCATCACATCTCAGCAAGTGCACCGGCCAACATCAGCACTTTTACCTTTGCTCCTGGGCCGATGCACAGACAAACTTTCGCCTACCCAACATCACACAACGAACAAGACACTTGTGAACGCGGCGACTCCGTTCCGCTGAGTTGGCGATTTCCTTCCTCGCGTAGCAGCCAATGGCCCGCGGAGCTCGATCAATTCGCCGGCTTCTCCTTTCATCAACAACAACGGCTATCTGAAGATAGCATGAAATTCCCTGCAGAGACTCCGTCACCAACAACGTGGAGACCTTACCCAACGCCTCAACGAATTCATGCGGGATCCATAGCATCGCCCTCTCATTCACGCCGCGGCTCTGGCGCTTACCCAGATGTGCCGAACTATGGCGAAATTGGTCCACATAGAACCAGTGTGGGGGGACGCAGCAGGCATTCGTTGAGGGCACGCGCTAGTCGACCCTCAATACGACCGCGTAAGAGCGCCGGGCAGGCCGTGAGCCACGAAGCAAACCACGAGGACACCCATGGAGATGAAGGGCTGGCCAGAGCGCCCAGTAGCGAAGCGGCCCCTACGGGCTCAACAATGCACCCTTTTGCGCTCAACTTCACGTCCCCAATCGGTGCGTATTTCAGATCAGATTGCTGTCGTATCCCTATTTGAACGCCGTATCTCGCCAGATTTCATGCCTAAACCTCCGGAAGAACCTGGCGGAGACCGCGATCATGCTGCGGTGTGACCGAGGATTATTAATCTCTTATTTTTGTTGTATGTTTGAGTAGTGATGCTGCCTCTCGATCAAGGACTATATTATCACCATCGCCGCGGTCTACGTCAATCTCCAATGTATATTCTGCCTCAATCTCATAACCCAGCCCCGCGCGCAGTCCCGTTGCTGGCGCTAAATTACAGCGCTATTCTCCGTCGTCTTCATCGTCATCCTCGCTGTCCATAGAATGGTCCGAGTCGCTAGATTGCCCGAAAAACTCGTCTCCTCGGACGCCGCCTCCCCCTGCCTTGCGTTGTAAACTTTTGGACTTGTCACTACCGTTCGTTGTGACCTGACTCAGTTCGGGTTGCTCTGCATCTGCCTCGTATGCGGGGCGTCTGCTATGCAAGCCACCCTTCCTTGCTCCCGTCGTGCCGCCGTTGTCCAGCTCAGGTTCTGCACTCAGCTCGCCGGCCTCCATTCTCTCACGTATCCAGGTCCGCACATTTTCGCGCTCCAAATCCGTCTTTGATGATTGAGCGGCAACTTGTTTGCTTTTGGCTTCATGCAAATCATCTCCGTGCGACCGAATCTCAGGAGGAAAGAGAGAGATGTATTTCTTCGTCTTAGGGTAATGCTGATAATTTACAACTGTCAGAAGTAGTCGGATTCGAGCTTGACCCAGACGTACTATCACGTAGTTCAAGTCAACCCTCAAGGATTGCAGCCGAGATTCTATATCTTGTCTAGCATATGGCACAGCGGTTTCCAGCTCTTTTTTTATCTGCTTTATCTTCCGGTCGACCTTTTTGCGGTCTACGAGATCGCCGGTGAGACGGTGCCGGATCAGACGACACAAGCATCCTTACCGAAGAATTTCACTTTGTGATACCGAAGTGCTAGTGTCCGCTCCTTGTTGGCAAGTTCCGCGCGTTGCAAATCCGCCTGCAATGTCCTGAGCCTCCTTTCCGCCTCCTGCCGCACATCGGGCGCGAGATCCTGACCGCTTTCGTCAGCTAGATACAATCAACGGTAGACCCCTCACACCTTCGCAAGCAACCTGGTCGTCTGCCTCAGTGCAGACTTAATCTTCTGTACACCTGGTAACCCAGCCGTTTCGCCATCTGATGCGGCCCTCTTCGCCTTGCCATGATCTCTCTTCTTCGGGCCTGCTTTATGCTGTCCACCGGCCGTACGCGGGGTCGAAGACTCCCCAGCCTTGTCCTCGGACTGCTTAGACCTTCGAGTGGAAGCCATTTCCTGCAGACTTGAGGAAGACACAAGAAAGTTCAGCGAGTATTCTGTGGGTTTTCCTGATGTACCGGAAAATCCGCAACTCGGATGCCGGAAGATGCGCTGCGCGGAGAGAAATGTATGAGCGCCGACCGTGGGAGTTTGCAACATCGTCTGCGTGGGCGATGTCCAGGTCCCAGTGTCCTGCGATGTCCAGCGTTCATTCTCCTGTGCATTAGCGGACTAATTACGCTGGCAGTGCCGACAGTATATACTGTCACTGCGTCTTGCTCACTGCGCGCAGTATCCAAAGACATGGGCGACTGAGGAACTTACAACAGTATGAAGCTTGTTTACGTCGCCCAGGAACTACTACATGCTGCATCCCGGATCAAAGTCTCGACCTGCTTTGCTTACTACGATGGTGATTGTCCGCTACGATACAAGCGCCCATATCCTGAAATGGCCTGGGCGGCGTTTCGAATTCACTCATCAAAAACTGACACTGGCGCTCCAATGGTGTTAAATGACTGTTGTCAGTTCCGCATGCGAAATCGTTGATCACCCACTTCCCCCTCGCTTCTTCAGGGTCCGGAGGCCATATCCACTTGCGGTTCCTTCAGACGATCTGAAAACGTCTCAGCTCTATGGTGCTGCGGAAGAGCTTCCGCAAACAATCTACTACCGATGGTCCCCGGGAACATGTACAGGGCTCAGAGACCAGGGCGCCCTGGATAAATAGTTTGCATTCGGAGAATTCGCGTCCTGCGCATCCAGCGCGGGTTGACACCGGAGCGACAGAGTCCACATCTGTGGGTGGATTTGACAGTGAATCTCCCAGCGGCCAGAGTCCTTCGGGACTTTCCCTTCCCGCACTCTTGCACGATTCTTCCGACTAGCCCGGCATCGACAGGGTTGTTCAGCAGGTTTCCGGCGTGTGGAACACCCTGAACGTTCTAGACAAAGTCCTTCGGAAGGCTAGAGATCGTCCTGGTACTCTACAAATAGCGTCGTGCCGTGCCTCGACATTACTCTGATGACCTTCGAACCTTGCCTCGAGAGCCGCAATCTTGCTTTCCAGAGATTCCTGGCGCACACATATGGCGATGAGTCGCACATGAAGCGATTGCAAGTCGTCGTTAGGCTTGGTCGGAACTAGCTTACAGCGAACGAGCGCATGACGTCTCGCGTGCTGTATTCCTTCTTTTGTGCTTTTTGCGCCGTCACAAGCAAAGCAGAAGAACGGGCCAGGAATCTTTGGAAAGCAAGATTGCGGCTCTCGAGGCAAGGTTCGAAGGTCATCAGAGTAATGTTGAGGCACGGCTCGACGCTATTCTCCATCTATAGCAGCCCGTCAACGTTGTTGTACCAGATCCCGATATTGTGTCGACATGATCCGCGATCGCGAGTATTCCAGACGGCAATAAAAATATGAAGTATGTAGACCCTGAACCATTAACATATAGCTCTGTAATACGCGACGAGATATTCCTAAGCCATTTCCTCCACCGCACTAGCCCACGTCCCGCTCCTCTCCAGTTTCCTCTCGTACCTCCTCCTGCCCTCATGAAGCGCAAAGCTCGCACCCGCTAACAGCAGCAACGTTGTCAAGTCGTTACTGCTTAAACCTTCGGTCTGGAACACGGCCTGCATCATCGGCACATACACCAGCGCTAGCTGCGACAGGAACGAGATCGAGACGGTGGTGAGAAGCATCTTGTTTTGGATCAGAGCGCAGCCGAGACCGCGATTCTGTAGGGCGGATACGAGGTCGAGGAAGACGAAGCAAGTGAATGTCTGAACAGAGCATATAGCATGAGTCCGAGATCATATATGATGTAAGAGAGACGCGGACCATAGTTTGTTCTCGCCGCGACATATGATCGTCGGACAAGGCGTAAGCGTAGATGAAGAGAGTCCCAACCACGATGATGGACGCGGAAAAAAGCACACGATACAACAGTCGGCGAGTGATGATGGGCTCGTTCTTTCTGCGTGGAGGTTTGCGCATAACGGAAGCATCGACAGGATCGACGCCCAACGATTGACTCGGCGGCCCTGAGCATTAATTGTCAGACTGTGCTACCCCCGACCTTCGTGAACTTACCGTCCATGAGGATGTTGATGAACAAGATTTGCATCGCGTTCAAGGGATTGCTCAAGCCGAAGAACGTGCTCAAGGTGATCAGTGTCAACGCCGCCGCCGCCGTGCTCAGTTGGAATGAAAGGAAATTCTGGATATTATGAAAAATAGATTTCCCTATTTCGCTTGTGTTCAGCACGTGGATTGCGTAAGGCGGAGAAAGATACGCACCTTCCTCTACTGCCGGCAATATAGTACTGAAATTATCATCAACGAGAATCATATCCGCAGCCTCCTTCGCAACATCTGTCCCGCTCTTGCCCATGGAGATACCGATATCCGCCATCTTTAACGCCGGAGCATCGTTAACTGTGTCAATGGGGATTGAACATAACGGCCGATAGTCGCACTCAAGGCTGTCACGTACCTCCATCACCAGTCATAGCCACGACAGCGCCTCTTGACTGAAACGCTTCGACTATAGCCATTTTGTGCCTCGGGGTCGTCCTGGCGAAGACGCTCACGCCGCCCACAACCTCCCTCAATTGCGCTTTGGTCATCCGATCAATAGCCTGGCCAGTTATGCACCCGCCTCCCAATCCGGTCGCGGATGCACCGGGAGGATACTGAGTCCCGCTCCTGTGCCCGCCTGCAACCCGCAAACCCAAGTCTCGGGCGATCGCCAGGGCCGTCTGCTCCGAATCGCCTGTGATCATAACGACCTGAACTCCGCCCGACTGCAGCAGCCCGATGGAGTCCGCAACTCCTTTCCTTGGCGGGTCGAGCATGGCCTGGAAGCCAACGAAGGTGAGGCCCGATTTCTCCGCAAACGGCGATGCGGCGCGGCTGGCTGGTGCTGAGGGTGCACTGCTTTTCAGATCGGTGAAGTCGGCAGCGGGTCCATGTCCGGATGCCATGGCCAGGACGCGCAAACCGCGCGACGCTGTCGCTTGCGCCTTGTCCATGATAACCTTGCGCGTGTTTGAGTCAAGATGAGGAGTCGAATCATCGGAGACATAGTATGTCTTGCATCGATCGAGAATTGAATCGATCGAGCCCTTGATGTAGTAGGTCTCTCGAGAACTACCTGCAGGGGTGGTGCTGGAAGAAGTATGGAAACCGCTGACTGCCATGAACTTCTTCTCCGAGCTGAAGGGCTGCTCAGTCGCACGAGTGAACGCCTATAAGCGGTAAGGCGGTTGGATTGACGTCAGGATTGAGCACATACCTGCCGCTGATCGGATAACCCGAACTGGGACAGTACGTTCAACAAAGCGACATCGGTTGCTTGACCGACATAATGGCCCTCTTCGTTTAGCGTGGCATTGTTGCACAGCGAACCGATCTCAAGAGTGCGTGTCATCGCAGGTGACAGCCGTTTCGCTTGCGGCATAGCCGAGTGCGGATCGATGGTGACAACTTCGTCCACTGCATATAGTTCAACGACAGTTTGCTCGTTTTGCGTCAATGTCCCTGGAAGAAGCCTGAGCTCGCACGTCAAGATTGTTTCGTCAGACACGAGACATACCTGTTTTATCGGAGCAGATGACGGATACAGAGCCCAAAGCCTCCACCGAATGCAATTTCTTCACGATCGCCTTGCGTTTCGCCATACGCAGCACGCCTAAAGCGAGGGTGACAGTCGTAACGATCGGCAAACCCTCGGGTATAGCAGCCACCGCGAGAGAGACTGCACTTCAACGGAGTAAGGTCAGCATGGCCCGATACGCATCGGAGACACGAAGGGAAAAAGGAAACGGGCGAACCTCCGATTGTGAACATGTCCAACCAGGACCGCCGTTGCAGGACGCCGATAAGGCAGATCACACCGATCACACCGAACGATATCATTGACAGCTTCTTCGCAAGCTCGTCCATGCTCAGTTGAAGAGGTGTGCGCTTCTCCTCGACGTCTTGCATCATGCTGAAAATCACCCCGAACTCGGTCTCGGTGCCAGTAGCAATCACAATGCCAGAACCTCTGCCTGTGACGTACTCTGTTTGAATACATCGTGCCCAAGGATGAAGCGAGATGGCTCACCATTTCGCACCAAGGTTCCCATATATGCGATGCAGGAGCGCTCGGCGAGCGCGACGGGTTCACTTGGGATTTGGGCATACCCCTGGTTCGTTCTACACGGCGCAGCATCCTTTCTGCGCGCAGTTGTCTCGCCAGTGAGGCTGCTCTCATCGATCTCGAGGTCGACGGAGGACGTGATACGAACGTCAGCGGGTATGCGGTCACCAGTAGTGAAAGTGACCAAGTCGCCAGGGACGAGTTCGTTGGCCAGTAGATGAAGTGTGTGGCCGTCGCTGCAGGGAGTCATGAAGGGATCCGAATTTAGGGAGACAAAGGTCATGCGGCGTACCGAATAACGTGACAGTGGTGCGGAACCAGCTTGTTCAACGCTTCGAGACTTTTCTCTGATCTTCGTTCCTGAACAAATCCAACTGCATGAGTACGGTTAGCATGCTAATCCATATATATGCGTTACACATTCACCAGTAAGGACGATGAGGATGGCCACGGTGATGCTCACGGCGTCGTCGACGTTGCCCATGACGGCGCTGACGACGGCGCTCCCGCATAATAGCAGGATCAACGGACTCTCGTAGATCGTCTTGGCAAACTTGAGAAGCACCGGCTCGGGCGAGGAGACCGAGAATTCATTGTAGCCCACTCTGGCGAGGATCGCGGGAACTGCGGATGCGGGCAGTCCACGAGTCTCGGAGGAGTGGAAATGGGCCACCGTATCCTGACATTGCGTAGAAGGATTCTGTTTAGATTCCCGAGCCACCGAGCTTTATGCTGGCGTACCTGGATCGTGTAATGCACGAAGAGCGCCGACGGCGTCGACCTTTGCGGGTCGGCCTTGCCATCGACCGTGTGCCCGTTTTCGGAGGCGGAGACGGCTTCATAACCTAGCCGCCCCTGGACAGCACTCGTCACTTTATGCCAGAGCCCCGACGGCCCTTCCTCCCGCACGTCCCTCACCACCGATCCCAGGTGGTCCAGCGTCAGTAGCTCATCGCCGTGGTGCCGCCGCAGCGTCGTACTGTACGCAAAGTGAGCGCCTGCATCGGGAGCGGGTTGCGGCTCCTGGGCGTGATTCAGGGGAACGTTGGAGAAATAGGCGGAAGCGGGCGGCGAGGCGCTGCGAGCGTGAGTTGTGTCGGAGGGGTTGCGCTGGTAATAGGATGAAGAGCTGGAGGCCTCGGAGTTGATGCTGAGGCCGTTGTGGTTACGTGCACGCTGGTCCTGGCCTCGCGTATTGGATGGACCGCGCTGCATGCCGGGCGTTGATTGCGGGCGAGAGATTTCAGAACGTCACTGGGTGCTTATGCGGGTGACTGTCGTGACTGTTGGATATCATTGTAGACAAGACAAAATGGCTGGATCATACTGCACTCACTCGGGAAGAACGTGAATCGGGTGGGAGTATGTTTAAGGGCAATTGTTTGCAGGCCGTTGCCTATGGGCGCCGCCGCAGTTACGGGTCAGGTGTAGGTCCGTGTATAGACATTGCCGCTCACCTCCGGGGCTCAAAGGCCTATGAAGGGACCCGAACGGCAGATACACGACCAGAAATTCAAGAGGTATGTTGGCAACACCAGTTCCGTACTAAAGCCGTCGAGGCGAACGAGGAAGGTCGAGGTGGCGTATACCGTGGCAGTGTTGCCTCCACGTCCTCTTGCCTTCGCCCACGACCGCCGACGGTGAGTTTCAGGCGTCTCAGAGTCGACCTGGCCGATGCTTACGGCGTAGCATTGTATCATCTGCTACCATAATATACTGTACGGATCAACGTCGACGGCATGGACACGCGACGCGGGCGCAGCAGAAGCAGAAGCCATGAACCCTACAGACGAGACGACCGCAATCGGTCGCTCGACCGGACGCGGCGGGACGATCGGGACGTGAAGAGGAGTCGCTCGAGGTCCCCGAAAAGACGCTCGCGCAGTCCAAGACGGCGTGCTTCACGATCTCGTTCGCATAGCATGCGACGACGCGACTCGCGTTCGAGGTCCCGCGACAGGAAGCAGAGCCGGCGGTCCCGCAGCCGGAGCCGGAGCAGGGACAAGGCGAAGCGTAGGCGCGACCGAAGCCGCTCTGTGTCGAGCTCGGACTCGGACTCCTCTCGCGAGCAGCGGCGTAAGCGCAGGAAGGAGAAGCAAAAGCGGCGGAGCAGTCGCAGTCGCGAAAGGAAGGAGCGCAAGAAGGCGAAGAAAGAGAAAAAGGTGGGATTCAAGGGATCGATACCTCGGGTTAGTCACGCTAAGAGTTGTCATCCCTCCAGAAGAAGGAGAAGAACGTCATGCAGTGGGGCAAATACGGACTCATCCACGAAACCGAGTGCGTTGCGTGCGACGTTCATATTCTCCGTATGGATATTAACGCATATCCGCAGCATGTACAGCAAAGACGCCGAGTTCCGGGCGTGGCTCGTCGAAGAGAGGATGATCAACCCGGAAACGATCTCGAAAGATAACATGAAAAAGGAGTTTGCGCGCTTCGCGGAGGATTACAACACGGCGACGCTCCCGAATGAAAAGTACTACGACATGGCGCGCTACGAGGTGCGCATGGCGGCACTGCGCGCGGGCGAGTTCGTCCCGCAGGGCGATGGGGACACGTACGACCCGATGGCGGATGTGCGCGCGCTGGAGACTGAGCGGAGGCGGAAGACGAAGGGCGATGCGGACCGGGAGAGCTATCTCAACAAGGAACAGCTGCAGGAGTTGCGCAAGGTGCAGCAGGAGCGGGTACAGGCAGGCAAAATGAAGATTTTGGGCATGGACATCAAGCAGAATATGGGTGTAAGGATGGACGGGACGATGTTCGATGGGTAGAATCTTGTTTCGGTGCGATTTTCCGCGTGACGCTACTCCAGGGGCACGGACTAACGTTGTGAACAGGTACACGTTTCTTGTATCCTGTAAATAATAGGAAGGGGACATTTTTTCGTCATATCTGAAGGACGTCGTAGAGGCACCGTTTGCCTCCGCCTCAGGCTGTGCCTGAATCAACTCGATGCCGTGGGAAAGCTCAGGTACGCCATATTCAGGGCGTTCGGAGGCAACGAAATGCCGGCAAATCGCGACGCAGAAACCACCTCGGCCTTCCTCGCGATCGCGCTAGCGGTGCAGTGCCTGGGGCGTTTGTTTCCTAATGCTCTCTGGCTGACATAGGAAAGGCCCGCAGGCTTGTTAAACGACGTCCGGCGCCTGCTGATCTCCGCCTTAGCAAGGCCGAGAGCGTCCAAGAACGCTCAAAAACTGGCACCATCGGCGTGCACTCGCACTCCAAGCTTCAGGCTTTCAATCCTCCCCCCCCCCCCCCCCCCCCCCCCCC